CACATTTTTGAATGGGTTTTGTTTCACAATCCTCTCCAGGGTGCGGTTATCTCTCTTGCTTGTACACTTTTTTCGACCACATCTTTTCCTTCCCTTCGCCTCTCTATTAATGTGCTTGGACACTGAGCTCTGTGAACAGCCAGCCTCTTTAGCGATGACCTTTTGTGTCTTGCCCTCCTTGTGCAAGGTGTCGATGGTCGTCTTTTGGACAACTGTCAAGTCAGCAGTCTTCCCCATGATTGTGTAGCCTATAGAACTAGACTGAAAGACCATTTAAAGGCTTTTGCAGGTGGTTTGAGTTAATTAGCTGATTAGAGTGTGGCACCAGGGGCCATCAATTTTGAACCTTTTCACAATATTCTAATTTTCTGATATGATGAATTTGAGATTTTCATTTGTTGTCATTTGTAATCATCAAAATTAAACAAAATAAACATCTGAAATATATGAGTTTGTATGTAATGTATGAATATAATATACAAGTTTCACTTTTTAAATGGAATTACTGAAATCAATCTACTTTTTCATGATATTCTAATTTTATGACCAGCACCTGTATATTGTTAAAAGAATTTACAGTGCAGCATTTTATTGTTTATCTTTTAACTCTTAACTATTATGTTATTCTTATACATTTTTCTAAGGTTTAAATTTGTGTGGACATTCTTTCTATAATCTTTTTGCTGCTGTAAACACCAGAATTTCCACAGTGTGGGACAATAAAGGGATTTTCTTTTCTATTCTATTTTCAATTCCATTCTTTTCTATTCGAGTCTAAAGTTGTACTTTTTTGTTTAAAGGAGATCATAGTTTATTATTTTGGAATATACTTCACTGCTGTTGAAGGTGGAGAGGGGGTTTGAAAACTTTCTATTAAATCAATGGGGCAGCCACCAAAAAAGTTCAACAACCACTGCTTGACAGTATTAGGTAGTTTTTAATCTGTTTCAGGTAAGGTTGCTAAAAATGAAATAGAGCAAACAACTCTAAAGGTTTAGCAGATTAACAACTCCATGTTTATAACTTAGTAGGTGTTTTTTGCCCCCCCCCCCCCCCCCCCCCACTACCAAACAGTTTAGTAGGCAGGTAGGGTCTCCTTGTTGTAATGGAGTCTGACTCACTGTGAGGAGAACTATGGGTCCTAGTTGAGTGCAGTGGACAGAGCTTGAAAGAAATGGACCACACTGGGAAAAATCAAAATCTAGATAAGTCATTTTTTCTTAAAAAAAAGTGCATTTGTTCTTGGATTGAGGAGGTAAAAGAGAGATCTTGCCAATGGAACAAGACAATTTACACTTGAAATAAGAAAACAAAACTGCATTGTTTTATTTTAAGTGCATATTTTCTAATTATCTTATAAGAGTAAAAATACTCATTCCATTGGCAAACTATCTCCATCTTGATGTTTACTATTCCTTAGAAACTTGCAGGGAGGCAACAAACCGTCCAAATTTATGAACAAGGCTGTGTATTTATGTCACTGCATTTTTGTAGCCAATGTTTGTACCTACCTGCTCAAATCAAGGGAAAATAAAGCTTTTTCAATTTTTGCTTTTTTTCTGTTATAGGAAGGGGACCATAACCAGCTTTACAGAAGCATAGGCCCCTGGGGGTCCCTGTTTAGAACTAGCCATCGTAGCTCTACTTATGGTTAATATCAGTTAACCTGGTTATTTTCCTGCACAAAGTTTTTTTTTTTTTTTTTTACATATTCAAACAGAATTGTGTCTATTACCTTTAAAGGTAAAAGCTTATGAATTAGGACTTTGCCGCCGACTACATGACACTACCCCTGGCCATGAAAACATACTTCCAGCATCATAACCTATTTCTTTTATGCTTTTTTGGTACTATACACACTCTTTTTATAATGTCTGTTGTATTTTTATCTTTAATGTCATCTTGCTTTAACTCTTTGTACTCTTTATAAGCTACTGGAACCAGAATTTCCCTGAAGGAGTAGTCCTGATCGATAAATAAAGTCGAGTCTAAGTCATGCTACCACCACCATGCTTGGCAGTTTATAGGTTTCTTTCGGTTAAAAAAAAAAAATAGATTAAAAAAATTGACTTCTGCAAGCAGGTTTCTAATGGTGGTAGACAATGAACTCTTTTTCTCCTCCAACCATAATCCCTTTTTTCCAGAGGTGTTTTGAACCACTGCATGAGAGGAGCAAAAATATCTGAGCTCGAAAGCGATGATTAGGAAGAGAGGGACATTTTAAAGAGATCATAATAAAAAAATAAAGCATTAACATAATAAGGCTTTACATAGGTCTCTCTTTTTTATGAATCACTATGATAACTGAATAAGAAAAAAGTATTCATACCCATAATCTGTACTAGCATATCAGTTGTTTTCTTGCAGAAAGTCAAAAATATTAATCTAAAAGCACACTTTTAATCAAAGTCTGTCCTCTTCCTTCTTTAACAAAAAAATAAAACCCATTAAACTCATAAAGTGGTTCTCTTTTAATGATTAAGACAGTCACAGAGTGTGATATGAGTATGCATGTAATGATGTAAAGCTTTAAGTAGGCGTGACCAGCAGCATAGTTCCACCAGATCCATGTAGTTCTAAAGAAAGGGGAGTTCTGGAGAAAAGTGGACCACAGACATCCGTTTATGCTGATGTAGAACTGGCTGTAATGGGTGAGTGTTAATTACAGGCTGACAATAAACGGAACAAACGGCTTTCTCGACAGATGTTATGATCAGCATAGAAAAAGATGGAGCTGTCTGACCACAAAAGCAAGAACACTGGGCCTCCTGCAACAATGTTTTCGTAATCTTGTTGTAAATTTCTACTTTTTCTCCTACCGTGGGCATTTACAAAAGGCAACATTGTATTCAAGAGACGTTCCCAACTTCAGTAAATGACTCCCGATGCGTCCACCTGTGCATAACTGAGCATATGTTCTCGACAAATGTAAACCTGCATTATTACTGCCCCAATAATGCCATATAAGGGGAGCTCCCATGCTGTCCGAATGTGTTCATTCATAGAAAACGCATCGAAGACAAGAAAAACTACTGGTTTGGAGATCCGGGTTTTGCTGACAGAGAACTGAGCAGCAGAATTAAAGCACCAGTAAAAGCAAAGCAGTGGGGAATAAAGGATGAGCTGTAAATGTCGTGGTTGCACTGTTACAGAAGTAAAAATATAGAAAGAAAAATAATTTGATCCAAAAACAGTCAATGAAAACCACTGGTGGAGGCAAGAGGAGGATTATATGATGTAAATGCTTACAACAAAACATTTTGCTAAATCTCCCTTTAATACGGACCAACACCCTTCATCTCGCGCTTCATCTCTCTCATACATAAATATGAACGTGTTAATAGTGAAACTCTAATCTGATGAACTTAGACAGACCCAAACATTTTACATTTAGTGTAATAACAAAACCAAGGAGCTGCCATGGAGGCCAGTAGTTATGTCATCAGTGGATAAAAATGTCATTTATAATTGCAGAGTTGCATTTAATAGAATAATGTGGCCTAATAAAATTGACAACTGCTTCTAAGTAACAACTAATGTGGTCATTTAGCTAAAAACCAGGTTTGGATAACAGTCAACTGACTGCACAAAACTCCAATGTCAGGACTGGAGAGCTCGTAAATGTGTTCATACCTGCGAGATTAGAAATAGGAGAAAAATTATGAATGTGACATTTTATCCTTAATCACTCGTATGAACGATTTAAAGGAAAAGTCCGGTCATATTCAGAATCCAAACTTCTGAAACTACTTTAAATATACAACTATTACATACAGTTCAATAAATAATAAGTGTTTTTAATTAAAAGTAATTTTTATTTGAATGTGTTTTACTGGAGACATCTATATTTGTCAGAGAACACTACTGTCACCTACCGGTTTGTGACGTCACGGTGCGGTATCGGCTATCGATCAAGTCCCAGTGCTGTATCTGGTGTTTGTCACAACGAGCTATTATCCAAGTCATCTTGAAAACATTCCATTTGAAATGCAAATCCTCCCTCTTCAAGTTGGCAATCCATCGACAAACCCGTCCGTGGAGGATCAGGAATCGAAAAGGTGAAATAACTAATTTTGTCTTCACTTTTATCCAATGTATTACAACATCCAACTGCCATGCACGTGAATTTCAAATAATTGTTGATTGCAGATGTGTTTAGTAGCTCCCATTGATTTTGCTTGTAAAGCGGGAAGAATGGCGCTAAGTTAATCGCACCGTGACATCACCTGCCGGAATATGTCAGGAGGGAGGTGTTACTGTATTTGGGCAAAAATGGCCGCTCCCTGACTCAGTGATGGTTTTGATTTTTTTTACTGATTAAATCTAAATTCATTAGATACCCACAAACATATTAGTTTTAGGTATAGATAACAATCCATTGATTATTCTTTGCTGACCGGAATTTTCCATTAAGAACCAGTTTGTTTGTATGAATTGTTCTTGTATGAGGCCCATTGATTGGAGGAGTCAATCATGTGAGGAGCAATGCATTAAGTTTTAAGCATGGTGGTGGTTGTATCATGGTGAGTCTGCTTTGATGACAGTTATGCATGAGAACTGGTTTTGAATATAAAAGTGACATCAGGCTTTTGAAATTGATCTAAGGTCAGGTGATCTTTTCAGATCATCTTAAAAATTTTAATTTCTGATAAGCTATGAGGTCAAATATCCAACTAGGAAAACCAACAACTTTGGTTCTACAACTTTTAACTTGTGCAACAAATTTGTTTTTGAAAACAATTTTAACTGCATGTTGCATCACAAGAAAATCCTTATCCTTAAGTGCTTTAATAAAAGCCCAGAGGCCATTGTTAAACTATATTTCCTGCTGAGCACAGATTGTTCTGCAGAGAAAATAAATTAAAATTGTTTAAAACTCAGGATGATCCCAAGGTTGATTTTAAAGTGCTTAAGATTTTTTTTTCTCTATGAAAAGTCCAAAGTTTTTACAAAGATGTAGAACCTCTTCTCCTTTAAAATTCAGGTAAGTAGTAATACCATTTTCATAAAAGAAAAAATGCTTTAATGCAGAGCTGGGAGGAGGATTTAAATAGAAACTGACAGAGGCAGAGCACAGGATATGAACAGAACATCATCTCTGATGAAGGTTGGAGCTGCCGTGGGCGACTGAAACTAAACCACCTTAGAGTTCAGATTCAAAAGGAGCTTTAATCTCTTTTGGAGTCAGACAGGACCCGGGATTGGAACCAACGGACCAGAGTTGTGCTCCGTTTTCCTGCTCATGATGTCCTGTAAAGTAACCGGATCACTCTTGTCCCTGCGAGGAACGTGAAGCAAGTCCACCACAGCGCAGCTGGGCTTCAGACGCCTGCGTCTTACGGCCCGTTTCTCCGCGCGGGTTTTAACTGGAGGAAGCACGTCGCACATTCTGGAGCAGGCCGCTGTGATGCCACAGAAAAATGGGTCGTCAGAATGAGAGGATCCTTCAGAGCTTCCCTCTGACGGCGAGTCTCTAAACGTAGGTTGGAGTAACTGCTTTACTAGAGGTGCGGTGTTTGAGGGGACGGGCCCGTTGTTGGTTCTAAGAGCTCCGTTACACAGTTCAGGAGCAGAATGAAAGCAGGGTTTAAGCGTCTCCACTTGGTCCGGAGGTTTTAACCTGCGACGTCTCCTCTGTTTGGAGGAAGGTTTTGGAAAGAAAAGCAAAGATGAAGCAGAAGAATCCTCTCTGTGCTCAATAATCTGGTTAACATCCTTTGACAATGAAACAGTTTCACACACCTTTCTGTTTGCTTGACAAAGGCTGTGGTTCTTATCAGCATGGAGCATTTCTGGACCTTTAAACGATAACAAGAGAGCTGTTTTATTCATTTCACATATTCTCCTGGCATCTTGATGCAATATAACCTCACCTTCAGTTGTGGGCAGCTGAAAGGCCTCAGGGTTTATGATCGGATAGGATGCGCTCTTTTTCAAGCCCGTCACATTGCAGGAAGAAAACTGCCTGTTGAGCAGACAGTATAGTCATGGTTTATTAACCATTATCAGGCATTACAGGGTGATTACTGTACAGTGCATTATAAATCAGCTGCACCCTTTTAAAAATCAGGTAATGGAAGTTTTTATTTTTTGTAACAACAGCACAATTTCTAATGATTATATTTTAAGTCCAAAAATATTACATCAATCTACATGCACAGGCATCTTATTAACCTGTTCAAATTAAGGGCAAATCCATGTATTTTAAGAGATTTTCAGTTATATTTCAATTATCTTTTAAAGTACATAAGCCAGTAGCCTAAAGAAACAGAAAATGAGAGATAAAAGCAAAATGAAGCTTTTTGCTCGGCATACGGAAAGCCAACATCTCATTTAACCTTTAAGACACAATCTCCAAAAGGAAGACGTTGTGTTCAGGCTGCTGGAGTTCTTTTCTTCACGAGGGACAGGGAAGCTGTTTGGGGGGTAATGAGAAGACGAAAAGAGCTAAACAGGGAAAAGGGCTGAAATTAAATGGTATAGATCAAACCTGAGTTTGAATTAGAGAGGGACCTAGGGATGTTTTTTTTAACATCGGCCTTCTAAATATGTGCTGGCAATAATTTTTGGGTGAAGATTTTAAGCCCATGTTTTAAAAACTACACAGTGGTAACAAATGTTACACAAGTCTCATTTTAAACAAATCGAACTAAACATTAACAATAAATCATAGATGAAGGGCACAACTGAATGTGCTTATGACCTCAAGCATGGCAGCTGAATCTGCAAATGAATGCAGTTATATTAGACGCAAATAAAAAAGGTTTACAAATATCGTCCGGCTGATGTATCGGTCTACCTCTAGTTAGAATGGATCAGACAAGGCCCAAACCTAATCCCAATTTAGGTCTCTTGAAAATATTTATATAAATCCAAAGGAGAAAAAAAAGCTGAACCATAACAAGGTACCAGCAGCACCTCTAGAAGAATGGGGGTTAAAAAAATACCCCATAGAAATGTTAGGGTAAAGGGTGAGTTGATTTTTGTTTGGGTTTTTGTTCTTGTTGAGTGGAGTTAGTTTACATGGTAGCCTAGTCCTACAATCTTTTAATTACCCAAAGCTGGTGGTGTACTATTCCCACCCAAATAGGGTATTCTATTTATGTATTTGTTATATTTATTTTGGTCACTTTTCTGGTCACTTTAGTTTATTCTTTGTCAGTATTTAATAACATAACTCAGGTCTATTAAGTTATTTTTCTTTAAAACAATTCTGTTATGGTTAAAAAAGTTGGTTAAATTTAATTTAATTGGAAGTCTGTGTTTGTGTTCTTTATTAAAATTAAATCATTTAGCAATATCATAAAAAATGTCCAGGCAGAGCTGCACATAAAATATTGTTTCAAATCTTTTCAATATTTATCGATATCGATCAATATGCATTTTTTTTTTATCGATAAGCTTTTTTTCTATATCTTCCAGCCCTAATATATATATATATATATATATATATATATATATATATATATATATATATATATATATATATATATAGAGGGGGTGGAGTCAGGTTTCACCTTTCAAAAACCTACAATGCAGCAATTGAGTTAATCCGTTCATGCCTTCATCGCAGCCCCAGCTTCTGTACAGCAGAGCGTAGGATCTCGCCCATCCAGCCAGGCCAATAATTCCCTTTAATAACCGACCTTTCAGACGCTTAGATGGGTATGGGGCGTTGCAGGCTAACAAAACAATACAAACGACCCCCATCCCAAGGGGGTGGAGCTCTTCGTACGTTTCAATTTGCATGTTTTCAAAACAAAAACAAGGCTTTGTTAAGCTACTGTATAAAACCTCAAACTCAACGCTATTCCTGACATTTTGAATTGAGAAAGCTTCCTGAATGGGAAGCGAAATGCCTTCAAACTTGGAAACAAAGTCCAGTAGATTGTTTTTTATCTTTTTGGAACGACTATGACATGGATGACAGAGAATCTTCTCCGACGTACATTATAGGATACTCTTGTATCCTTATAGCAGGGTAACCAATTATAAATCAGTGGGGTCGATATGAAGAAAATCATCCACCAGTAAAGGCCCGGAGACATTTTTAATTAGGATCTGTTACTTTAAACAGAATTTAACACTGAAATAATTTGAGATGTTTATGTGTCCATGTTACACATTTAATTTATGAATAAAAAAAAAAGAAAATGTTTCCATTTTAAAATCTAAAGGGTTTTTTGAAGTAGAGAACAACAATTTTTTAGATTGATAGACAATTTCCTGATTCACGTATTTTGTTAAACATCTGAACTGACATTTGTTTTTTTTTGTTTTTTTTTTATGGCTAAATTAGAGCAGTGGGCTTAGGAATGACCTGCAAGGCTTTAAACCTGGGTTTGAATGACAAGAAAGCCATTCTCACGCACATATCAAGGTGCTCATTCGTGAGCCTGGATCAGTATTTATTTCTGATTATGTTCATGGTGGAGAATCCTGCTTCACAGCAGCAGGTTGAGCCAAACATACTCAAAATGTGCAGGGTTATGTTTGAGCACACCATTTCAATTTTCTTTCACTAGTTCACCGCAGTTCTTCCAGCAGTCCACATGTCCTCTGCTTTCTTTTTCTCATCGTCTTCTCCTTCTTTCCCATCGCCCTTCTTTCCCATGCTACAGGTTTGCCTGCTGTGTCTAAAAGTGACAAGGCTCATTGGCTGTGTCAGTCTCAGAGGTGGAAAGTAACGAAATACATTTACTCAAGTTACTGTATTGAGTAGGTTTTTTGTGTATTTTGTATTTTTCAAGTAGTTTTTAAAATCGGTAATTTAAATTTTACTTGATTACGTTTTGAGTGAAGTGTTGTATTTCGTTACATTACAAATCCCATATGTTACTAAGTAAAAAAAAAACTTTGGAAAACCGAAAGGAAGACAAAAAATCGGGCCCGGAAGCACTACAGTGAGTGACGTGATCAGCATGTAGATCTAGGCTACCAGGCGCGCCAAGTCTTTCTGTAGGAGATTGGGAACGAGATGGAGGTGGATCAGGAGAGCGACGACGGTTCAGAGAATGTTTCACTAGAAATGCTAGCTGAAACATCGAATTCAGCTGCCCAAAATGACGAAAATCCTTGGCCACATTTGAAAGACTGCTTTTCATTTAAATTCAAGAGGGCCAACAGTATCATCATGCAATGCCAGATGTGCCTGCCAAAGATGACTGAACTGGCAGCAACTAAATAGTTTTGGATTTATGACTCCTTGTCCTATTTTCACTACATGGGAGAGATTCCCTGCCCCGTTAAACAGTTTTTTTTTTTTTTTAAGTAACTAAGTAACTTCTACTTAAAATACATTTTAAATCAGCTACTTATTATTTTTACTTGAGTAATTTTACTTGTACTTGAGTAATATTTCATCCAAGTATTGGTACTTTTACTTGAGTATGGTATTTTAGTACTTTTTCCACCTCTGGTCAGTCTGGGTCTCTCACACTGTTTTCGGACAACATGTGGTAAATTATAAATGTTTTGAATCAGGTTGAGTCCGGGTTAGCCAGCAGGTGGGTCTGGATCCGGACCCTGGTCCGCTAATCCGTGACCTCTGCTTTTTAGGTTTCGAATACCTTAGGCTCTGAAGTTGTGAGCTGTTCGGTTGGATTAATGAGTCCAAGCTCCATCAGCCAAATTCCAGCACGTATTCACACCCTTTGCAGTTTCTTTGTCTTCTAATGAGAATCATTAACGATGCTGAGTGTCAACATTGGACTCTGTTATCATACCTTTCAGGTAAGCAGTAGGAAGGGCTCTTGGCATCAGGTGGTTCTGGATCCGTGTTCGTAGGCAGAGCGATGCAGAAGTGGTTGACGCACAGCAAAGCGCCGAGACACAAGCACAACACGAGAGAGAGCAGCAGGTAATACTGCCGGTCTGAGACCTGGAAAAAAAATGATTGATTTCAGGCTTAGAATATCTGTGGCATGGCTCAACTTCAGCAAAAAGGGTGTTGCTTTGTGTTAAAGCACTTTTCTGCTAGAAAATAGCTAAAAAGTATTTCTTTTCTACCAGATAAACTAGCAAATAATTAAAAATTTGTCTTAAAATTGACTCTGATAATGGAGGGGGCTTTGTGCCTGTGGCGTTTGGATCTACCTCACTCTGCAGCTGGCTGACTTGGACAGAAAGGTTGAGAACCAGCTGAGTCACGTTCTCCAGCTGACCCTGCAGCATCTGAATGGATTCAGTCTGACGAAGGTCCTTAAAAACCAGAACGTACATAAAATAAAAGAAAATGGAACACATTTTGACCAATTAGCTTTACAACAACAAGTAAAAAAGGCCAGCAAAACATAGCACACATAAATGACCGAAGAAATTATTTAAAATAAAATCAGTTTAGATTGTAGGAAGGAAACTAGCTCTATTTTTGTATATACATCCAGCAAAAAGTTAAAGAGGACAGGATTCAATCATGCTTTTAAAAAGCAATCAAAAGAAGTGAAGTGTGTTAACAGAAAGATCAGAAAGATCCTTACAACAATATAGATGAACCAAATCAAAGAACAGATAACTTAGCTAATAAAAGACCTTTCTAATATAAAGCAACAATGAAATATAAACCCAGATTTCTGAGGATATGAAAAAGCCGCATAGGGCCGGATGATGAGACCAAAACTGATCAGAAATTAGCTGTTAAGTTCGATTAACATGATATAATTTCACTATCGATAACGATATAAAGAATACAAAAGTGCCACTAAATCTACATTAAAGATATAAATCTATTTATTCTTAACTATTCAGTTTGTATCTACAAGCTTAACAGATGAAATGCACTTTTAATCAGGTGATTATCTCCTTCTCCTTATATTACTCATTTCACGGCTTCTTGCCTCCTTTAGTTTCTTTATCATTGATTCTTTTTTGTGACTGATGTTCGAAAAGATAAACACATCTTAACCTGAAAGGGTATCTTCCCAAATCACTACAGTTAAGTAGCAAAAAAAGCATAACTAGCTGAAGGTCCCCAGTCAATTCACAAACAACTAATTTTGATAAGTAATGCTTTAAAATAAGTTTGTTTTTTAAGTCATCCTGTTAAGATTTCTCCCCCTTTCTCTCAGCCGTATTGTGTTGTCATGGTGTTCTATTTGTCTATTAGATGCTGGTCTAATGTGCCACAAACTGCTTATTGAAATACACTGTTTATTGAAATACTGGAAATGTGTTGAAATGTTATATCCCTGTTAAATAAAATTATATATAGATATTAAACTATCGTCCAGCCCTGAAGCAGCCAAAGAGTGTCAACAAAGTTCCAAAGAAAAGGAAGGATTTAAGGTTTTAAAAATGGAGCAAAAGAAAAACATATTAAAAATTAGAGGCTCTGAAATGGAGTCCTGAGTAACAAAGAGCTTTAGAGGAGAAGATATATGTCTCAACTTTGAGGTTTTAATGTGCTAAACATGGAAACAGAAGCTACAGTGGGACAAAAAGCTCAGACTGTCTCTTAAAGGCGGCTTGTCTTTGCTTACCTGCTCCTCTGCTATTCTAGAAGTGTTCTGGAGTTTGATGATTGTTTTGTTAAAAGCTCTCTGCATTTCCTCCATTTGCTTTCGGTACCTTAAACAGACACACACAAAAAAACTGACATTTTAAAACTCCTCTATATTTAGAGTTCAAATAAGCAGCGCAACCTTCTGGAGTTTCACCTTTGGCTAAGCTGCTCCAAGTATCGCCCGCTGAGGGACATGTTCACCTCCAGGGCCTTGATTCGATTGTTCAGTCTCATGAACACCGACTCCTTCTGGCTGGAACCATGCACCTGGTTTCCATTCTGCTCTGTACCATTAAAGGGTTCTGCATAAATGTCTAAGAGAGATGTTGAGGTAGGGGAAGCATTAGTTGGAAGAGAAGGACGGAACATCGGATCGCTGCCTCCTGATGGCAGTGGGAATTCCTCTGTGAGATCCTCCGTTTTAGTCTCTGCGACGGTACTGGCAGGATCGGCTTCTGTGGGGGCATCTGTAGCTGTGGGGGGAACCTCAGACGAGGTCGGGACACCTTCAGTCCCAGAAGGTGACTCCAGCTGATTCGTGGAGGAGGTGGATGGGAAAACTGGAGCCTGATCGGCCTCATCCACGATTGGGATAGAAGCATTGACTTCAGCCTGTGAGGGATCGATGTTGGGCTTTTCCTCTGAGATGCTGATGCTGGGCTTCACCTCCTCAGAGGTGCTGAGAGAGGAAGAGGGCTCCAAAATATTCCCCTCAGTTGACACATCCTGGCTCTCCTCTGGCCCCGAATCTCGCATTGCTTCCACAGAGGATAACTCTGGTGTTTCTATGACTGGGGTGGGTTTGGCAGGAGATGACTCCGTGGCGCTGGGTTTGGGGAGGTGTGGGGTCTGACTGGGCTCCAGAATGTCGGGCTCAGACACAGATCCCTCTGTGTTCCCTGAAGGTGGTGCTGCTTCTGCATCCATTGTGTCTCTATCTGGCTGCTGCTCTGAGGCTGGCTCTTTTTCAATGGATCCATCTGCCTTATCCTCATGGGGGTGAGGCTCTAGGGAAGTGGGGGGAGGCAGGGGCCAGGAGGGTGTTTGTATTGGGGGAGTTTTCTGAGCTATGTCCACCATTTGGCAATTCCTCTTTTTGGACAGAGAGGCGGAACACTGCAGCTGGACAAACTCCTGAAATGAAGCCACACAAGAACAAGAGGAACAACACGGAGAACAGAGCTCTAGGTGGCCTTTATGCCACCTCTGGTCATCCTTTCTGTCTTTCTCATCTTCCAGCTCCTCCTCCTTTTCCAGGAGGATAATTGTAGGGCTGATCGGCTCTTCTTCATCCTTCTCCAATCGAATAACAATTTTCTCCTCCTCTGGGGGCGGCTTTTCTTCACAGTTATCAGTAGTTGATGTGTCCGGAGCAGGCGTCTCAGTGGGAGGAACTGCAGAGGCCTGTAAACCCTGCTGGTCTTCAGCATCTGGACTGTCGGAACAACAGAAGAGGAAAATGAGGTTTACCGGTATATTAGATACTGAAACATAAGATATTCCATTAAGCAGCAAATCATGACATAAAACCGAATCTAATGTGGAACTGAAAAATTAAAACTACACAAACCGAAAGAGTAAACAGATTTATGATGTAATCCTGGACCACAAAATCTACAGGAAACTGCATGTAGGAAATGTGAAACCTAAACTAGCGAAACGCACAGCAATGCTTGGAGGAATATAGTGAACCCTCGTTTTTTACAGGAGTTTTATTCCAAAAAGAACCCGTTATTAATTTTTTATAGTTATTATTAAAAACTTGTTCAGGCCTATATCACCCTTCCTCAATGATCGTTTTAAATTTATTGTTTTATGAGATATTCGGAGAGGCGGTCTCTCCGCGTAGAGAAAAAGATGTATATCCAAAGTGTTTAAATTTTTTCAAACCAGCCCCTACTTGCATTAAATACACTTGGTACTGTGTGAACAGCACTTGTTGATGATCCGGTATCTGCACCCTCCTCCTCTTCCCCATCATGAATGCTATAGCTGTCAGTTTGATAGTGTTCAAGTTTTTACGCAGATAACACTCGTTTCCATCGTAATGTTCGTTTTTCTGCAGCCATTAATCCACAAAGCCAATGCAGACTTCATCCTAACCATAGTCTTGTTGTGGACAGTTGCAACCCTTTTTGCATCCTTATTAAAACTTATTGCTGCTGTCATCCTTGTGTTATTTTCCTCTTTTATGGAACAAACGGAAGATTCATTAATTTGGAAATGGCGACCTACAGCTGCATAGCTTCTACCCTCCTTTAGCATGTCCAGAAGTTTAACTTTTTCTACAGTAGTTAGCATCTTCCTCTGCTTTTTGCACCCATCTTCACGTACCTTTGTCGGTGCAAACCAAAATTTGACAAGCTGTTGTTCGTACATGTTAATGTATATTAAACCATAATGTTATTGATACACAGGTAGAGAAGAAGTGCGGAGACTGTTTAGTAATGTTGCGCCGATGCCATTTTTTGGCCCCGATACAGATACCTAGCTGTGCAGCATTGGCTGATACTGATGCCATACTGGTACCATCTGTTTGAAATTGTTGTGTGTTTGTGTGTGTGTGTATTAGGGTTGTCAAAAGTATCTATACTCAAAAAAGAATCGATACTGATCTGTATCTGGATACAATACTCATTTTCAAAAGTATCGATACAGTGCCACCACCAGTGGGACCTAAACAGCCATTCATCTTATGCGCAGATTAGAGGGAAATTCACTTTCTGAACACTGTGTGATTGAATAATTCTGTCCACTTTTCGGTTTCAGACTTTTTTCTGTAACAGGTGCAGCTGCTGAGAATTATTTTTGTTTCTTAACCGGTTTGGCTACTGTCATTGTTATGTGTGCAAAGCATAGCCAAGGAAGGAACACTTAATTTTAATTTTGTAAGTTTTTTATCAAGCTTGCTTAATATTGTGCACAGCATACAACCTCAAAATATTGTTTATTGTATTAATTTATCAATTTATTGTATTTTGTTTATTAATGAAAAAAATTCTGTTGAATTTTGGAGTCTTTGTTTTTATCCTTGTGGTATCGAAAATGACATCCAGTATCGAATATTTTACTTAGTATCGGTATCGAGTTGAAAAGTTTAGTATCGTGACAACCCTAGTGTGTATATAGGAAGAACTGCATAATGCTTGGGTGTAAAAAAAATTACCATCATGGGTTTTTCAAGCTGCTGCCTACCTTTGTAAAGCAGGAAAAAGACTAATACAAAGTGAATCATGTAGAACTTTTTATTGCCTACCTAAAATGGGTGACAATAGTTGACAAAAGTTTTGGCTCTCAAAAAGGTATCGGTGCCCTATTTGTTGGTACTCGCCAATACCGATACCACAGTTTTAGTGCTGGATCGGGGCCCCGCCCTATCCTAGTATCGGTGCAACTCAACAAATTAGCCAATCAGATTGCAGAACACGATGCAAATAAGTGAAGCAGCAAGGCAGTGAAAGGTGAACCACATTATAGCGAGGATTCAATGTAAGCCCTGGTTGGGTTATAACATGAGGAGGCTTCAATCATTTAAACCTTTATTGAAGGACTGTGTACTTACACTGAGGAAAGGTTAGTGGTCATATCTTTGGCAGTGGTTTCAGCAGGTTGCAGTGATTCAGTTATGTTCACATCTTGAGAGGAAAGGTTTCCTTCAGAAAGAAAAACATATCAATAATTACGTCACTTAAAGATATACAAGAACTAACTTTGGGGTAAAATGTTTTTTTATTTTTAACTCAGTCGATGTATAACCACACCTGGAATCTCTTGATTAGCCCCAAGAACGACAGCAATATCTTTCACCATGTTGAAAATAGCATCTGAGGAAATGAATAAATAAAACACTGATGTGAGAATGTGCTGCAGCAATAATCAGCTTACTTATACCAATAATATTTTAAATCAGACCTTTGGCTGATCCAATTAGATTCTTAGACTTGTCTTCTCCAGGTGCGCTTCCAGCAGGATAATCTGAAATAAGAACCGAACTTTACTCAAGCTGGATAGGATGAAGATAAGAATCAAAATACACAACATTATACCAAACCAAAAATACTTATCAGTCAAAAGAGTGAGACTGTTTAAGCATTTTTATTTGATCCTTTAACAACAACAAATAGGCACATCACATCAATGTTCATTTAAAAAAAAACACAAATAAAAACAAAAGTCAGTTCTCTCTTTAACTGGATCAGTATCTAGTCATGGTTAGGGGTGTGCAAAATAATCGTCATGACGATGCATCACGATTCAAATTTTTGTGATCTACTGCATCGATTCTTGATGCCAAGTATCGATTCTTAATTAACAAAAAGGAATAAATAAAATACATGAATGGTTGGCACACATCAGCCAAAAACAAGTGGAATACAACTTTCAGTCCAGTAGATGTCGCTGCGGATACTGCGACGAGTCATTCATAGACAAAACATGGAGGAGACTGAGAAAATTTGCCCGGCTCCATCACATTCCAAGTCAGATGTTTGGATGCATTTTGGCTTTAAAATCAAAGAAGGTAAAAACGAAATTGATATGATGCACGTCATTTGCAAAAGGGGAAATGTCATACATTTGAATGTTTCCATTTCATTGGTTTAAAGGACCACTGAGGCCTTGTAAACAGCACTGTTATTATAAGTTTTATGAATCCTAAGCACTTTTTGTCAGTGTGTCCACTCCAGTAATAGTAATATTTGTGTCCAGTATTTGTTTTCATGGCAACACCTTCAAAAGTTGTTTCAATAAATACAGCTATGTATGAATTCAGTTGCGTTCAGTTATGTATCAATTGAAGACAATATCCAGATAATACACAGCCAGTCAGCCACTGGTAAGGGCTGTATTTTTTTATTACAGTGTTCAGTGAAAATATCGCAATGCATCGCAGTATTTCAAGTATCGCGATGCATCGTGATAGAATCGCATCGTGGCATGTGAATTGTGATTCGGATCGAATCGTGACTTCTTTGGTAATACCCACCCCTAGTCATGGTCAATAATTCACATGCAGCTGTAAAATATATAAAAAATGGTGCCAACAGTACATTATTTGATTATCAATTTAAACAACTAATAAAGTTAACTAATTTGTTAATCTAATCATTAACTGGAATATTTAGACTTTCAATCATACAACATGCTAAAAGAACGTTCCATTCAGAGCAGTAATTTAAGTAAACCTGCGCAAAAATTATTGAGTTTGAAAAACCTATCAGGAAATATGCTCCAAGTTAAAACTTTTTGTTGTATTAATTTATCTTCACCTTGTTCAAATTCTGTAAAAACCTGTTACACATCTTTCTACCTATTAATGATCCGCTAATGGAAAAGGTAGTCAACAAATTATAGTTCCCATTTCTTAAATTAGATGTTGTAAGCATTCAAACGTCATTTATAATTCACTTACAATGTGCAAAAAATTTATTTTTTTATGTTTATAACTGCTTTTTATTGATAAATAATAATTTACATAAAGCATTCCTTTCCAAGTAAAAAAAATAACAATTGGTTTGTAAAATACTAGATAGCTGCTGCCTTAATTGAAATTAACTAATAAAAAAAAAATGGTGTAGAAATGAGTCAGTGAATTCCTTCATCCTGTGAACTAAGAGGCAGCACTGCTTATGGACAATTAATGATGTACCTGCTGGAGTACCCTCTAAGAAATCTTCCTGAGCTGGTTTATACCCATTTAAATGCTCCAAAACATTGCAAAAATGGTTAGGAAACAATCGACTACACTTTGTTTCCAAGTTTGAAGACTTTTGCTTCCCATCCAGGAAGCTTTTTCAATTCAAAATGTCAATGATGGCGCTGAGTTCAAGGCTTTATAGAGTGGACCAAAAACAAAGCCTTGTTTTGGCTTAGAAAACATGCTCCCAAAAATGTTTTTATGTTTAGAAGTGCTTTTCACTTTTTAACAAACGAAGATTTCCCAGTGGATTGGTGTATGTGCTGTGATCCTACCTGGATCGTCATCCTGATCGTCGGTTCTCTCTGAAGGATCAGCCTCCTCATACTCTTCCACCATACTCGTTCCAAACACCCTGAAATAAAATGAGAGATCTTTACAATTCAAGAGCAAGAAAACAGCCTTTAACAGCCACATTATCAAGAGTTTTTTTCTTAATAATCAGAAACAATCTGCCACATTATTTTGATGCTACCTGTCTTAATGCAAGTGCAAAGAAATTATAACTATAGAATAAATAAAGCCCTATAAAGCCCTTTAGTGTTTAAGACATTCAGTTAACTTCTATTAACAAGATTTTCTGAGTTGTAAATAAATGTTCTCTGGTTAACTCATGTTGCCCTGCTTGCCTATTACATTTTATTTCTGTGTTTTACACTTTCTTTCTGCTCCATTTTTCAGTTAACAAACATTTCAGTATTTATCCTAACAAAATCAAGATACCAGAGGTATGAAGTCTGGACATGTGTCCAGTGAGTAAACAAGGAAGCAATTTCTCCAGCAGGGGTGTAAAAAAGATACTGGATGTTAAGTAGTGCTTTGAGTGCAATATGCTGATCAAGCTAGGTGCAAAATTTCATTTTAGGCAAAAATGTACTAAGGAAACACTATAAGGATGAACAACTAATGTACATTTGATTTATTACAACATAAACATATGTTGTTGTTTTTTTTTTTACAGGCTCACTGTACAAAGAAGTTTATCCTAGACAGAGGAAATATAAGTATACACCATTGTTTACAACAAATAACTACATCTATACAAACTGTGTTTTGATCATGTGTTTTAAAAGCTTGTTCATCAGAACTCTGAAAGCTAACATACCTTATGAGACTGAGAGGACAGAAGTGTTCAGAGCCAAAGTGAGAGACCAGCTCGACCTGTAAAACCAATCAGAATGTTGTTTAGATTATCTGATAATGATGCCTAAAACATCAAATGTTAGTTGATTCTGCTTTAATCTTAGAAGTGCAGGGAAAGATGGACAGATTGGTATAGTGAGTCATTCAGAAAAAAAATAAACAAATAAATAAAATCAATAGTTAATATACAGACAAAAATAAAAAGTTTGGTCCAATAAAGAAAACCGGTGGATTTTATATCAGAAGATAAGAAAGCTTGATAATGTGATCTGGGGTGTTTCATTAGAATTGTTCTAGGTCATTTTAGTTTGATTTTATTTTAGTAGATGATCAGTTTAATAGAAAAGAAGTCAAAATGAGGCCATTTGATGCAACCGCGGTGCACTAAGAGAAGAGCAGGCTAACCTTTATGTACTTGGTGAACATCTGAAGCAAGAGAAAAGGGAAAAAAAGAAAGATTAAAGAGATATAGGCATGCATAAAAAAGAGAACTCTCTCTAGCTTGAATAACATCACGAGGATTGTCAGCATCACATCTTAAACAACCAAGCCATGTTATATGCTTTTCAAACAAGGCCACATAAGGTGGTTACATAACTGCTAGTCTGCAAACAATGTCTTTAAAAAGAGCTAATCAGAAACAAAAATATATATAAAAAAAAAAAAAAAAACTATAAGGTGCCATTTAAAAAAATAAATAATAAAAGTTGCAGAAAGGATCTTTTTATTTCTAACTTTTCTTTACATCAACAAAGAATACAGTAGATGCAGACATAGCCTGACCAGACTTTGCCCACCTTCACATATTTAGCATAAAGATGCTCATCCAATGGGAAGCTCTGAACTGTGCGTTCATCCCTGGCATGAAAGGTTCCCAGCTTTAACCACTTGTTTGTTGGGTATCTGCAAAAGTGCATTCATACAACGCAGTTATGCAAAAGATATGGATAATTGAAGGATAATAGTTATAGCCTAAAAGTTTGTGACTTTTTAAAAACATTTTAAATAAAAAAAGCTTTTGAGAGTTTTCGGTTTTCTCAGATTTTTCTTCATTTATTTATTTATTTATTTTATTTTTTACTTTTTTTTTCATTATCATAATTTAATCTGATGAAGCCCAAATGTGTTGCCATTTATACATATAAAAATAAAGAAATAAAACAAAAACAAAACCATGCATAAATTCCCTTTACTTTAGTCTCTAGTGTAGATCGATATATCACAGAAATTATAATTAAATATTTTGCAGTTGTCAAAAAACAAAATATGAAAAATAAAAAAACTTCATTGTACAAGGCAATGTTAATGATATGAAGCATACCTATCACTGATGGAGACAAGAAAGTCTTTAGGAGTGGAGGAGAACAGCTCAAAATTAGCAATGTCCAACTGCTTCAACTGGATGGGCTCACAGAGCTCGATAATGAACCTGAGTGACAAAGGAACATAAATAATAAAAAAATTACATTTATTCAGATGAAAAAAAAGACATTTAATGATCTCTTTAGCTTCACTCGCCAGATTTTATTGCTGCAAGGATTTAACATATACAAATCCATATTCTCCTTCAATATAGCCGAGGTGCTCTGTGGAACAAATAAAAACGTATCAGTTTAATTTATTTTACCTTATGATCTTGCAGAATATAGCATGTGTTAGTTTGCCTACAAACCATTATATGATATTAAAATTACCTGAACACAGAGTACATGTCAGACTAAATAATACTACTTCAGTGATAGTTTCAAGGTGTTGCTTTATTGTATGTCTCGTACCATGTCTTTCGGTTGTGCTGTTCTTTTTACATCTTGTTGCAGGTGATGAAGCAGACAGAAAATGTTTTGTCATTGTCTCCTTTCTATCTCCTCTTTCTTTAATCTTTTCTCTTTTTTTCTTTTTCTTCTTCTGTTTTTCTACTCTATTTACATTGCAGTGTCCATATAAACTGTAAAACTCCCTGCATAATAATAATAATAATAAAGCAATTTATATGCATGAAACAACTGGAGCAATATGGCAATTGCCATACTGCTACACTTGTGAAAGTAAAATCTGTTGGGCTCTTTTTGGCATCAAGACAATTATTCTTATTGCCACATTGCCAGACAGGACACTGTTAAAAAATATAAATAAATAAAAAAAATAATAAAATTACCTTAGCTTCTGGGTTAGCACCAAGTATCTTGGCTCCACACTCCACTGAGGCGTAGTTATTAAAGTTTTTCTGGACTTTCTTCACTGTATGAGACCCTCCATTGTTAGAGGTGTGTGTGGACAGAGCTTTTGAGAGGGGAAAAAAAGGATTTCATTCAAGTGCACAATTGGAAGTGAAATAAAGAACCACTCAAAAGCGTGTATCCTACTCTTCTCTTTCTCCACTTCCATCATCTTCCGTTTCCACTCATCAAAAGTGGGGATGTCCTCGGGGTCTTTGCTGCTCACTGTGGAATCGGTGTCTCCGCTAACGGGAGAGCTCAAGTCCTGTCACAGATAATGAGAAAAGTGGAGCTGGGACACCTCCTCTGACAGAGAGAGGAAAAAAATAGCTCACATTGCATCTGGTGGCCTCACCTGCTCTTTCTGTGTGTGTGATGCGTTGGCTTCCGGATGCTTGCTGCTGTGAACAGCCGGGGGGCTCATAGGGGGGGAGACTTCGGTTATGGTGCCTGTGGTGTGAGCATTGGAAGTGTTCTCAAGCACTATTGGAGGGTTGCTGTGGGAAATAAAACAAGCATGGATGCTCCCCTTAAAAAAAACTCTCTCATGTGGTTTAACAGGACATGTAATCACCGTTTTAATTTTTTCAGCTGTAATTAAACCAACCTGTCCTCATCATATGGGTTATCATCTTCTTCACAGTCACCTGGAGGCTCGTCGAATTCAATAGCTTCAGGAGCAGCTGCTTCAGATCCATCTCTTAAATGAAAAAACATTCAACGTTTTAACAGGAACAGATCCATTTTTTAAGGCTTAAACTGTGAGTTCTGAGGTTTAGCAGCCTGCCTGTTTGTGACATCCTCTACAACATTGTTCACACTGGGGTCGTCTTTATATGGAGCAGAAATAGCGGAGAGCGAGTCTGTGGAAGGTTGAGGCGCTTCAGAGTCCAGCTCTTGAGATACAGATGCTTCTGCATGTTGATGTTCGGAGCTTTTCTCGGGTTGCGGATTTCTTTCTTCTTCCTTCAGCTCTGCCGCTGCAGCAGGCAGATCTGATTCAAGGACCTACAGAGAGACTTCAGTGTTAGCCTTGATCCATTAACCAGAGCTTATCTATGAAACGATCAAAAGCTCCAATTGCTCGAGTATGGGTATGTATGTCAAAAAAAGGCTGCATATGAAAAATATTTAGCTGAGAAATGAGAACTTAATGAAATTTATTTTAGTATTTAATCCTCATTTTAAACCTCACCTACAGTATTCAGTGTGTAAGACAGATAACACAATTTGGACTGTCGTAGTATCTCCTACTAATAAAAATGTATCTTTTATGAGAAAATATTTGAATATGTTGTTACTCTAAAACCAAGCGCTATAAGTGTATCCCGGTTCCTACCTAGATCTTTGAGCCAAATATCAAAAAATGTCATGTGGGCTTTAAAAGGACTAGAGGCAATAGAAGACAACTAGAGGCCAAATTCAGATATTCTCATGTCTCTAAAGAAAATTAATTGACCCTACAATATAGTAAGCAACTTTTTTTTTTCAAATACCATCAGTTTATATATATTAGAGCATCAGAATTGATATTCCTGTTATCGTTCAAGTCATCTGATTAATCTTATTCCAAGTTAAAACGAATTAGGAGGAGGACTCATCAGCAAGGGTTAGGGAGCAGCTACAGCTGGTCAAAACTAGATGGAAGTTTCCTAATATAAAACCCTCATGAGAAATGATGCGACACCAGAAAAATTGCATATATATATAACTGAAATGTACCCAACTTGTGCTCTAGTGTTAAAAACATTATTCCACTGTACATGTAAATGGCAATATGTTAGTGGGAAGTATGCTGATGAAGATTCTCAGTCATCCAGGTCATAGTCATTCCGTAAAAGTTCAAAAAAATCCACTGGACTTGGTTTCCAAGATTTGAAGACATTTCGCTTTCTCACACATTTGAATGGAGAAAACTTCCTTGAGAGGTAGCGAAACGTCTTCAAATCTTGGAAACCAAGTCCAGTGGATTTTTTTTTTTTTTTTTTTTACTTGTACGGAATGTTAGTGGGAGCTTTCTGCAATGAGGTTCAGAGAGCAAGTTATGATAAATGTGTCTTTCACAAAGAATAACTGATCCTGAAGATGATTAACTCTACCTAACTATTGTAAACCTATGGATGCATAGTTTTAACTATTATATGCCAGTCTGTATAATGGCTTGCAAATTTGAAGATTGAAAATGAAAATGGCGATTTTTTTAATGGGTTTTATTTTCCCTGTATAATTCAGTTCTTCTTCAAGTGTTGTGTAACACCAACTGCTGATACCCAGTTCTGAACTTAATTCATAAATCTAATTAACACAATGTTTAAAAAAAATAAAAAAAGTAATGTGAAGTGGATCTCCAGCATCTGGGTCTCCTCAGAAATAAGACTGTACTGATAGTTTTATAATGAATATAAAATTCTTCTGTGTTACTGTTACCTACAAAAAGTGTTAAAGTCTCTCAATAATGTCAAAAGTTAATGTCAAAACTAATTATTATTTTGTCCACACACTGGGGCTGTGTCCGAATGCCTGTTTAATCACTATATAGTGATAACGCCGTTTTAGGGGAGTGTCCAAACTTCTAGTGGATGCAAAAGTAGTGGACTCGAAATTTCCCACAATGCACCTTGCAAAGTAGTGATCGCCCATGGTCACTAGATGAGCAAATATATCCTGGAGAGCTCTTCTCACAAAGCATTATAGCAGGGGTCTTCAACTTTTTCCAGGCCAAGGACCTCCGAACTGATGGCGAGATGGAGCGGGGACCTCCTAATTATTTATATTGTATGAAATTGTGTTATATCAAACTGGTCCTATAGTCACTCTATTATAGATGGAGTAATGTAACGAAAGTAATTTCGCTCTGGGATTATTAAAGTATTTCTGATTCTGATTCCTGGTTGATGGAACAGGTGTTGTGAATAAAACGGTGCCCAGCTTGAATGAGCTCCTGTGTGTCGTTGAATGTGTGCATTGATGACTGAAGGACATCTGCCTCCATTTATATGTTTACTATAGCATGTTGAATTTATGTTAATGTGGATTTAAAGACATTTCAATTAGTAGAAAAAAATGCACGGGGAATATAATAAAAAAAATTGCATTCAACCATAACTTTCATGATCCTCATGCAGTTGGGTTTGCGGAGCGCCTTTTTAAGACCTCCGCATTATAGGATTTGTTGTCACAGTGGCCCGCTGTCACCTAAGGCTGTCACTACCTGCCAGCGGCGACAAATAATAAAGATGGCACAGTGTGGGGAGGTGGAGTCACATGACCAACGGGAGCGTAAAGTAGTGATCATATGTCCGAACGGTCAGTTAATTGAGTTCACTATAAAGTCCACTATATAGTCCCTATATATAGTGATTGATGGATTAAGGGGTTAGGGGTGGATGTTTGGACACAGCCTGGGTGTCGGGCCGTGTTTTTTTTTGAACTGGCAATAATTTGGACAGCATGAAGATAAAAAGGACCCATCCCAAATGGAATGTTACAGTAAAATATTTGGAGTTACAAAGGAAGCAAGTAAGCTTAGCTTTTTAGATTTTTGATCTTTTGTCAAGAGCTTTGAATCTGACATCATCAATGGGGATAAATGTAGATCAGAAATGAAATGACAGTCAGCCAGTAGCAGCACTGCCATAGATATCAATGACAATGTTTTTTCTGCCGACAAACGAAAGTCCAAGGCAGTTAGAGGAATAAATGACTCAAAGAAACGGTTGTCTGGGATTTCTAATGTCTGGAGATAATTCCAGATGAAGATGCTAGCCCTTCACAGTGGGTTATTAACACTCTGTTACAACCTTTGACTTTTCCTAACATGGATTGTTAATTATTACTAACCTTATCATTACCCATATATATTCTTGTCCCTCTGCCTCAAGTCCTTTGCAGCACTCAAGGTTTTCTAGAATGACCCTATTTTAGCTCCATACATCTTCCAATCAACCTTAACGAGCTTTCTAGTCCTTGATAAGGAAAAAAAACACCCTCACAACAAAACGTCACCAGTACCAGGTTCACCCAAAGAGATGTTGTGTTTATGGATATATAGAAACAGTTAATATTCTTAAAGCAGAACTTGTTATCTTTTGCAAAAAAGTTCTTTTTTTTTTTGTCTAATCTGAGCAGAGCCACTGCTGGCACATTTTTTATGGCTGCAATTTGACATTTTGCAAAGTACTATTAAATTAACAATGTGACACAACCCTAAGGTGCAGTAACCAGCTACACCAAAAGCACTTTACTTTCTGACTATGGTCTCAGAAAATACTTGGGGCATCTTAAAAGGGTGTAGGGTGTTTTTCTTTGGTCCGTTTCTCCTACCTGCTTATATTCCACGCCTTGTGTCAACTGTTCTTTGTTATGGCGATAATCTCCAGCCGGTTTCCCGTCCTCTGATAGGTCCGGTGGAGGTAGAATAAGCTTATCGTCCTTCTAAACGTCACAAAAAAATGAAAACGTCACAAACTCTTAAATACATCCTGATAAAAACATTAAGAAAAGTCAATACGGTGGACAAGAAATATAGACCTATTACCTTCTCATCTGGGTTCTCATCTCCCGACTGCTGGTTTTTGATTTCCTCAAGGGACCATTGCTTCTGAGCATCTGGCTGCAGCTCAGTAGATCCAACATAGTAACTAAGATCCCTGCTGGTGAAAAGGGGAATCAGTGCCATAACAATACTAAGTCATATTGTCTGAGGAAGGATTACGCCAATAAACCTGCCAGAGGAAATGTTCTGCTTAAAAACAGAGAGTCTTCTATGATGTAAAAAGTCCTTATTGTAAAAGCTCAGGTAGTCCGGCCATAAAATTAGATTATCAGTAAACTGGAAAACAAGTAAAGAGGAACACCTCATTAAGTAGTAATACTTCACTAACAAATGGCTTAAAAGAGCTTTGAAAGGTGTTTATCTCATTTATCAAATAAAATATTTTTTCATCATTATATTAGTCCTTATATAGGCAAAATTTAAGTCTTAGTTTGCTGCTACAGGCTTGTACTTTACATGGATTCTCTCAAAGTCTAAAAGCTTGCTTGTCATGGTATTTGCCTTTACTAAAATGCCTGTAGATGTGAGCATGTGTTTTAGCTGCTTGGATATTATACTCGACAAAGAGAAAGTTAAGAAATCTGTAAAACAAATAGAAAAAATAAAGTTTGACAAAAAATTAAGACTTGGAAAACCAACAAATAAAAAAAAACAGCAAATGTATTCTTAAGTAACTCTTAAATATTATTCGAAACATGGAAAGAAATACATGTATTTTTGATGAACTGAGGATCTGTCCAGGGTGTAACCTGCTGCTTTCTATTGACCGCTGGAAGAGAGGCACCATCCACTCCCTCCCAACCTTAAAAGGATTGGAAAATGGACGGCAGCCAATATCCAAAGCAACCCCAGCAGCATTTCAGTGTTTCAATCCAGTTATACCAAAACATTAACTGGATGGCTGAGCTAATAACAAACCGAATACTTTGCCAAAGCATGCTTCTGTTGTTTATTTTTAGTCCAGGATTAGTTTTGACTTTCCTTACAGTTTATATTCAGAGGGTGTCAGTATCCAGCTATATGTGAACGCTACAATGAGTGGCGCCAAGAGGATCCTTTTTTATATCTGCTTCAAAGTGACAGTTTGAACAGAGACAATCTGCACTTCAGTGTTGCTACAAGGTTAAGTAGCTAGTTACTGCCGTTGCAGGGAAGTATGGCTGGTGTCAATCTTCTTCAACCTTCACTAAACCATAACTTTAACATCCTGCGGATCTTTAAGATGCAGTGCCGATGAATATAGCTAATAGAAGAATTGAAAAATGCTTAGAAACAACCTCTACAAAATGAAAATCACAGAGGTATGATATGACAGGTCTTATATTAGTGAGTGGTATTTTTGTCTTGGGGGGGAGGCATGTTTTCTATTATGCAGGAGTCATTCAACAGAGCAAGTCATCGCTGTGCAGCCCTGTAAAAAGGAGCCTTTATGTTTTAACAGTCTAATGACACAGTTTCTCCACTTGTGACAGGCGACATGAGCATAGACTTAGACAAAGATTAGTTTACCATTGATTACTATATTGGAGAATATAGCACTGTGCTGGAACTATGCAGTAACATGAAACAAATTTATTATAAAATTGGACAGAATAGAGTGTATTTTTCTTAAATGTTATCATCATTATTATTGATCTTTTTAGGAGTCCCCCATCTCCTTTCTAAAAACACCTATCTACAAAACAAGTATATATATATATATATATATATATATATATATATATATATATATATATATATATATATATATATATATAATTGCATACATATTAGAGCTGAAACAATTGAATTAATGGATATTAATCAGTTATTAAAATAATCTTCAACTAATTTACTAAACGACTTACTGTTAACCGCAGTATAGACTCTAAAACATATCTTCTTAAACATGGAGCAGTAATTATAGTAAAATTGTAATAATAAAAAAAAAAAATATATATATATATATATATATATATATATATATATATATATATATATATATATATATATATATATATTTATATTTTGCATTTAAGAAAAAAAGTACTTTTTCGTCTGTCAATATGCTCTACCCAGAACTCCTCAAGTGGAAAACTTTTAGTTTCACTTCTTTAAGGAACGTCTTGCAATCTGATTAATGGAAAAAATAATCGAAGTATTAGTCAATTAGCAAAATAATCATTACCCTAATACATATATATCCCAAAAAAAATTATTGAGGTACGAATAAGGTTAGAAAAGGCAGTAATACAAGTAGATAAATCATCTTAACAGAACAAAATCCATCCTGAAAGCAAACATGTCACTAAGTGTTTGAAGTAACTTTATTACATTAAAGAGAACTGTTATTTCAGTCTTTGATGTTATCAATACTCTCTTAAAATACACCTCATCATCCCAAGTTAACATCTCTATAATCAAATGAGGTGCTTATATTTAAAGCAATGTCAGGGGTTAAACTTTTGGAAAATGGATGGCAACAAAATAACTTCCAGTACTAAACTCCTGAACTATAGTTTGTATTTTACAAGATGTACTAAACTATTCATCATAGAAACGATAAGATTAGTGGCTGTAAGACTCATCTTCAGGCTTACGTGTAAATGACACATTGCTAACCTCGGCATTTGAACCTCAGTCAGCGGCTAAAGCTACCTCATCTCAACAGGTCAGAAGTCAGCCAGGTGCCACATCACAACATAACGTCAGGGCTAACTAGCTAGCTGGTGCTACACTAGTGTCCGATGGTTTAAACGTGGAATATGGTTTGTTAGTCGTTTTCCCCAAGAAATACCAACAGAAAAAAGTTTCATATATAACAGGTGTTCAAAAAGGAGAAGGACCGACTCACCAAAAGAGTACAGCTATACATAGCCACACTGACACACTTCGCCACAACAGTTGTGTCATTTTCATCCCTCTCCTGCTGGGACAGACATCCTCGCCGCACTCAAAGAAACGTTTGACCTTTTAGTTTCTAGCGTCCTCACTGGAGTAGGAATCACTCTACGAGTTTCGTTAACGTCCCGTCCTCAACATTGAACTGCTTCATTGAGAACTGTGATGCTAGCCGCTTGTTGTCCCGAGCAGTTTCCTCCTGACTGTTAGTGCAGCTCTGACGCTTCTTCTTCTTCTTTTTTTTTTTTTTAATGGCGGTTGGCAAACAACTTATAGGTGCATTACCGCCACCTTCCAGAATGGAGTATGGATCAGACAAACTATTATATTCTCCCTAAAATACCTGTTCTTCTTAGAAAATTAAAAATACTCCCAAAAACTACATCCCCAGATGACCTTTGAAACAATTCCCTTATATCTAGTTTACTTTTATTCCTGTCTAACTCTCTACACAACATTTCTCTTTCCTGAGTATATTTATTACATTCTAAAAATATGTGTTGGACAGTTTCTAATTTCCCACATATACAACACCCTGTATTATGCTTATTCATTATTTTAAGAGTACTATTTAATCTTGTATGTCCAAACCTTATTCTAGATATAACATCTTCTTCTTTTTTAATTCTATTACATTTTCTTAATTCTCCAACCTTTTTTTGAATACTATAATAAAATCTAGCATTCCCTCCTTTATCCCACTGTTCTTGCCATTTCTTCTTGAAATACATTTTTATAATATTCTTTAACTCATTTTTACTAATGTTAATGTTTAAATCAATATCCTTTTTAACAGCACTCTTAGCAAAACTGTCAGCTAACTCATTACCGATAACACCAATATGAGCAGGAATCCAGACAAATTTAACAACAGAACCACCATTTTTAATCCTAAAAATTGAGTGAAGAATATCCAATATAATATCTTGTCTCGACTCTGAATTAAATTCTAGAATACTTATTAATGCACTACTTGAATCTGAACAAATTAAAACCTCCCTGTCTTTTGTTTCCTCAATCCATTCTAAAGCCATTAAGATAGCCATTAATTCACCTGTATACACTGCCAATTTATCTGTTATTCTTTTATTCCTCATAATATTTAAATCTGGGATTACAAATGCTATACCTACTCTTTCATTTAATGTTTTAGAAGCATCTGTATAAATTTGTATATACTCTGAATATTCTTTTTTAATATAATTTTCCACCTCTTTTTTATCTAACTGTCTCCCTTTTCTCAATAAATTTAAATCAACATCAGCCTGTCCAAAGATCCATGATGGAATAGCAGGAATAACAACCACAGGACTGATTACAAAGTTATCTATTCCTACATTTTTTACTTTATTCATAATTGTCCATCCAAAACTATTAATTTTTTTCTTTTCTTTTTCTTGACATGGTTGCAATGTAACATACGGAGGATGATTTTCTTTAGATCCTTTAATATTTACCCAGTCAGCTCTGACGCTACATCCAACGGACCAATAAAAACGCAGCGAGGCTATTGCGCAATTAAAACTGTGGGTGCGTTCGTTTTATATACGCCCACTGCCCGAAATATGCGGGGATACTTTAACTTATTTATTTAAAGTCACATTTTCAATAAAACCGCTTTTATTAGTAGTAAGTAAGTTTTGGTAAATAAGAATAATCGTCGTGGTATTTGTTCTACGTTTTTGAGTCGAGCCTAAGTTTCACAATATGTTTCCCCAAATGTTTTGTGTTTTGTTCAGGTGTGCGTTCAAGTACACCCTGTAAACTTAAGAGATATTAACTACCGTGGTCATATCTAATAATCAAAGGTCAACTCAGACCTAAACAAGTCTTAACACTCTTGTTTAGTTTTAGAATTTTTTACTGTCTTCTTTCTAAAATGTATTTGGAAATCCAAGTTTGTTTCTATAATAAAAATAAAAAATGCTTTAAGATTCAGGTAGTTTTTCTGTATTACGAGAAAATGACAGCTCATTTCTCATTGATGGATAGTGTAGTAGGTGTTTTTAGTACACACTAGTGCAACAACCTTGAGTATTTATAAGACGATTAACAAAGTCCAAGTGGCCAGGACCATGGACAGCAGCACACACCTTAAAGGAATAAGTCCAGCATTTCCTTGTTTTACCTCATTCATTATCCAAGAAGTTGTACAATACTAAGTGAAAGACGACACATTAGAAAAAACACAAATAAAAAAAATTAAAAAAATTTAAAAAACAAGAAGAAATAGAAGAAGAAAAAAAACATAAACCATAATACACACTCACATCTGGTCAATTTAGAGTAGCCAATTATGTTTCTGGAGAGTACCCCGCATCATGCATGGTGAGAATATGTAAATTCAATGCAAAAAGGCCTTCTTGCTGCAAAAAGAACCATTGTGCGATGCAAAGTTTTTTTGTTGTTGTTTTTGCCAAGGAAACGAACAGACCGTGAATGCACCATGAAGTATAAAACAAGCTATGATAGAAAGTACTGTTAAATGGGGGAAATGGAAACATTTAAAATGCAGGTTGTAATGACAAATGACGGAACATTGAGAGACCAACATTCCTTTGCATATCAAGAACCTAAATTGGTTCTGTGCCAGGCAACATTTGGTTGTCAAGTTGGGGGAAACTGTTTCAGCTGCAGCACATTACCTTGTCTGTTCCCAATACTTTCACATTCCCATTTAAGGCCATTAGAGGGTGCTGCATAATAACCTGTGGAGCATTTGTATAAGGAGGGCTGCTGAGCTGCTTAAAGCAGTATTCGTCCTTGAGGGAAAAAAATCAACCATACTGACTTAATTTATCACTTATATCTTAGAACAACACATCATGTTATATGTTTTGCTGCTATGTTATAATTCCTCATATGATAAGGTGAAATATTTTCTAAAATCCAACTCTACAAACATCTCCAAATGCTCAAGTCAACCTTCTACAGTCCTTTTAAGTACATCTATTTTATATTTTTATGTCGCTTTTCCCTCTCAATATTATCTCCAGTTTTAACCTTCTATTTTCTTCAGATCTGTCTACTTCTACGACTGCAGTAAAATATTTGAGTTGAACATGAGAACATTGCATTGATTTCAAGGAGATTTGGTTACAGTAAAACACATGGAAGCAGTTTGTGCAGAGAACATTGGCACACTGAAATGATCAGAGGTAATTTTTAAAAATCGGATTTATTCAAGTCAGCTGGTGACCATACAGCCTGGTTGGTATGCTGCTTTATGGTGATTCACAAAAACTGAGCAAGTTTTTTTTCTTTGCTGAGCTGTTGAATCTAATGACTTACTCACCAAAAAATAGTATAAATCTAAGGTTGAGAAGTTTGCAATCCAAATACAGCTCAAATGCCTCGGATATAAGGTAAAAATTAAATCCATTAATTTGTCTCCTGTGGTGTTATTCTCGTTTACATAAAATTCAGAATTACCCATTATAGTGCTCTTATAAAAGCTAACACAAAAGCTCTACTTAATAATATCTTATTATCCAGCTGTTTTTATTGTCAAAATACACACTGTAATGTCAGAACATTGTTTATATATTTAAATGTCTAATCTTTGCATACAAAGGCAAAAAATAACAATTACATTTTCTTTTTTATTATTAGATTTCATTTAAAATGCTTTAAAGATCTGAGAGGGAAGTAAATTGTTGCTTTAAGTATTATAGCCTTTTCAACAACTTGCTCCAGATGCTGACATCTGAAGACAGTCAGGGTCTCCTGTAATGGTTTTGTTTACAGTGGATCTGAGGAAGCATCAGAAAAAAGACACCGCTGTTGTTTCACAGCCTGATAAAGAGTTTGCTTAGGGTTGTTTATGATGTTTTTAATTTTATAAAGTATTCTACTGTGAAAAATTAACTCTAGATGTTCCAAAGCAGTTCCTAAGAGCCCAACTAAGAGCAATATTTAAAAAAATGCAATCCAGAAATAAACTTTGAAAAACTTCTTAATAAAAAAAAGTCTTTGACCGTATCTCTGCTGTTTTCTCAGATTTTACTGAGATTTTAAGATTTTACTTTTTTATTATTATTATTTTCATATACTATGACTTTGATGTTTTTACTTTATTTTTTGAATATATTTTCAAGGATTTTATATTTTTTAAGTGAATTTTTGTTATTCATCTTTTCCAGATTGGGTCTTACAAAGTTCAATCTTTTTAAATTTTGTTTTACAGATCATAATCTTTACATTTAAGCCAAATACAGATGCTTGTTCTTGACCAATAAAACTGCTGGTTCATGCAGACCAATAAAAAGGTATCTTTGCTGTCCTCACCAGAGGAAAGCACAAGCGCAGAAGTAAAGATAATGTGATCTGTAAAAGTTTAAAAAGACTACAACTTGTTAAAACTCAAAAGGCTAAGAAAAACAGCAAATCTTTTTCTCAAAACCATTTTTCAGAGAGAAGTTTTTTAAAGTTTTACTTCTAGATTGCATTTCTTTTAAAACTTTCGTTTCACAAAACATGTTTTTCTTTGTGTGCAACAGTAACGGAACAAAATACACTCTATAAGTGCCCAGATCAAAAGCTGTTTTCTAAGTAAACAACAATGTATATACATGCCTACATCAATTTCAGATCTTCTCTCACAGCGGAAATAATGTTTGATATGTTCTGGTTTCTCTTGAAATCTAAAATAAATAAATAATTTTCAAAAATGAGTACTTCAATACTTTAACTAGTGTAGATTTTTAATCAGGTAACTTTTACTTGTAGTAAAATAAATTGTAAAAATAAAAATGTAAAGAAAAATGAAAATTTTAAAAAGAATTCTCACATAACTAAATCTGAGGGAAAAAAAAGAAAAGTTATATTTAAAAACTTTGGTTTATTATGTTTCAAAGTTTCATTTCCGGATTTCATTTTTGTTCCTTCAAAATGTGTTCTTAGCTTGCAGCAGCAATGGAGAAAAAAAAAATCTTTCCATAACAAATTAGGTTTTATTTTTAGGATCTTAATGATGTTAATTATTGGGACTAAAATCAAAGAAAACCAAACACATCAAGCACAGTCAGAGGAGTTGGAAACACATCCTTCTGCTTATAAGAAGAGATAAATAACCATGTGTAACATAAAATACATATTTCCATTAACTATACTGCAATGTTGAATCAACTAACAGGAGAACTTAACTGCCTCAGATATAAATTAAGGGTTTTAGATTTCTATTTTTAATAAAATGTGAAAAAACACAGATTGCTTCCCATTTATTATACGCATTTCAACCTGGAGAGACTCACACAGAGAAAAGTTGCAATCAGGATATGTTAAATTTATTTTTGTAACATTCATTCTTTAAAATATTTCCATTTAAGGAAAACCAGCCGATTGTGAGGACTTGTTGATTCTCTGCAATCCCTGGACTGAGCATGCATGTAAGTGGAGTGACAGTGGAGAGGAAAACTCCCTTTTAACAGGAAGAAACCTTCAGCAGAACCAGGCTCAGTGTGAGCGGCCATCTGCTGAGGCCGACTGGGGTTCAAGGAGAAGGAAGCAGATGAAACCATAATTAAAATAGGTTCTTTAGTTTGGATAAATAACCTAGAAAAGGATTGGAGAGGTCTTCCGCCGAGGTCCCGGTCACTGGTGGTGGAATAAGCCAGAGGATGAGTGGGAATGAGAATGAGGAAGGAGATGGGATGGAGGTGGGTGAAAGCTGGCTTGCGTGCAGGAGAGAGAAGCTAGGCCAGGAGCTAAATTAAGGGGTTCTTGCAAGATGATTGGCTTCGGAGAAAGTGTGGCCTCCAGTTGATTGGCTTAGCTGAACGAGGGACATCGCAGGTGGTTCAGGTGAAGCTGATGGGAGTCTTCCAGATTGAATTTACACTTAAGATTAATTTGTGTTTTTGTCACATGAAAGATCTCAATTAAGTATGACGGATGTCGTAATTCTTCCCCAAACCCAAATTCTAATATACCAATAATCACTCTGTTGACAATAAATGACATTATGAGGAAGAAGTTTATTGAGGAGCAATACAGACACAGAATATAACAACTGGAGCATTTCCAAATTTAACATCATGTCTTCTGCTAAACAGTTTTAGCCAATTCCACATCAGCCAGAATCTTTAGCTTATATCTTTTCCTCTTCCTTTTTTTTTTTTTTTTTTTACTTCACAATTCTCCTTCTATTTAACTTTGGCAATAAAGAATTGTAATCCATGCCAGTAAGGCAGTCTAAATAAGAGAGAGGAGAGAATATAGTGAATACAGACATAGAGAACGATTAAAGCGATAGGATTCTTGATGAGGTCTTTAGAGTCCACTGGTACACTATATCCTTATCATTACCTATATACATCAGAATACAGTTTAGGCTTACATACACAATAACAAAGTGACAGAGAAGCACTTGAACACTGACAATACAACCGTAAGCTCTGATGCAAATACTGACGGACTGGCTTCAGGGATCTCATGGACCAACAAGTTGGCTAAAAGAGGAAAATAAGTTGGTGATGGGTATAAACACATGGGTCAGACCTGAGAAAAAGGCTAAATGGAAACATGTCATATGGTTGTGCGTATCTGTGTCTTCGTTTTGGTCCTGTAAGGGAACCCAATAATATCTGGCATAGATTCTAGCCCTCCTAAAATCCTCTCCTAAAATCCTTAATGCACTCTAAAAACACCTGGGTTGATTCTTTAACACAAAAGTTGTGGTTTTCCTGTATAATTCACTCTTATGCAGACTTAACTTTACAAATTAGTTATTTCTGACTCATTTTAGAGTTGAATTGATGCTGGGACAGACCTAAAAACTAACCCTGCTGTGTTAAAATCAACTCTGGGCTTGATTGGTCTGTTTCTAGCCTGGGTAAGGGGTAACAAAAAAAACTAAATAACATAACCCAGCAGTTTTTAGAGCGTGGATGCATGAATACATGGATGGTCTTGTGTTAAAAACCTGTTTTGCCTTTGTATTATTTTCATTCGTAGGTTTGAAACAAGTCAAAACTTCAAAGTCAGCATCTGAATGGGAGCTTGAGGCCGTTTGGGTCACAAACGGACCATGGATACAGCACAGGTGGACACCTATGACGAGGTTAAATGTGTTATCGAGCCTGTTTTCCATATAGAGAATACTGAAGGTGCTCCTCAGCCTTGCTATGTGTGTATGGCTGCTACTACGACACATGAACAACTCACAAAAAAGTCAAACACTGAATTTCCCCTGCTGCGGGGTTTATGATTCATCATTAACAGCTTTGACAGTGAAAACAAACAGAACTGAAATGCCAACAAACGTGCAAAGACAGCACATGCACACGTGTCCTCACGCAACCCCCACACACGCACACAGCACGCAGTTGCACATGTACAATGTATTATTCGCACAGAAATACGCTTATACACAATTATACTAAGATACAACTTCTGTTCCTAAGAGAACATCAAGCTGATAATTAACACTCAGTGGGAATGAGGGAGGGGGTTAATTCTACAATAAATTAATACAATACTAAATCAAACTCAGCCTACATATAGGCAAATTAATCCCTTCCCCATAAACACACACACAAAACACAAGCACACACACTCAACACTCACACACACACACTCCCATGCAATAAAAGCAGCTTTTGGGGCATGCTGCATTTTGGAATGAGTAGGGCAGTATGACTGCTGAGAGTATTCTTATTTTTTTTTTATGTAGAAGCAGAAACTGGGGGTGCTGGCTGAATCATAGGGTCGAGTCAGGGGTAAAGGGTCGCAGGGTAGTGGACCTGCTAAGCAAACCTGGATCACAGGCGAGCAACAAGCGCACATATATACACACCACAAGACAAGTACCATACTGTACATAAATATATGGACGTCTTCACCTGGCAGGAAACTGAGGTTCAAAGGGGTCAAAGACTTCGGCGCCTTCGCTAAGGAGAGACGAGGACAGCAGAGCCATGGCTAAGAGGGGAGGGGGTATGAGGGGAGGACAGTGGGGCTGGAGGCCTCCCATTGAGGTGATTATGGGGGAGCTTGTCTTGTAGGAGACGGAGGTGGTCGGCGGCTGGTGGGGGGTGATGATGTGCCGAGCAGCAGGAAGAGGTGAGGGTTGAAAAGAAGGGAAAACAAAAGAAAACAGATTATTCGTCAGTGTGAAAACAAATAGAAAATATCTCTCTGATAATACAAAGTTGATGATACTGCATCTAAAACACAAATAGAGTGATTTTAGGCATCTTCAAGAAATTAGATTGAAACATATGCTAGGATAGAAAGTTTGAAGAAAAAAACTTTTATCCAGTTTTGTTTCTCTGTTTAAAAAAGAAACAAGAAGGAGCCTCATTTTTCATGCGTTTTGATGAGCTATGTCCATCAGTTTACACTAACATAAGTTTAGCCTGTTGCCTAGTTAGCTCACACTACAGCCAGAAATATCCAACATTTTATACATTAGCCTGAATTAATCAGAATTTCATTGGTCCTCCATGAAATCTGTTTTAGACATTACTAGCTGAGAAGTGACGGCCTAGTGGTTAGGGCATAAAGCTTGGAATACTGAGGTTCTGAGTTCGAACCCCTCTCCCACAGAATGCCACCCTGACTCTCTGAGCAAGACCCTGAACCTCACACTGTTTCCCGGGCGTCCAATGATGGCAGCCCACTGCTCCCCAAGGAGATGGGTTAAATGCAGAGGTAATTTTCTCCAATGTGAGATCAGTAAAGTTCAATTATTAAATTATATAGCTTGGAAAGAAAAACAGTTCCCGTGTTCTCCAGCTGCTTTAAAACAATGCAAAGGGAGTTAATGAAGATATCTTAACTGGATCTCCAACAATTGCTCTCATTGCTTTTGTAGCTTTGTAAATATTTCCACTGGTATTATGATTGTTATTTCTTTTTTTGGTGTTAAGCTAACAGTCTTTGAGGTTGAAAGACCCCTTTGCCATCACCCTAAACTTTACCTCCGTACACATTTTATGCATTAGATTTTGAAAAATCTATATCATTTCCAAAGATGAATACAAGGTGAGTACATTTCTGTTAACTAAAACACAAATGTAAATGTCATGCATGTCAATTATTTTGGACGCTTAACAACAAAACTTTCAAATCAGCTTCAATGCTCACACCTGTGTCCACCTCTATTTAGAAGCCGTCCTGACAAAGTTTTTCCACCAGGTTGTGTAAAGCTCCAGCTGCTATATTTATATATTTTTCTTCTATTTCTTTTTCTGGTCTCCAAGTTACAGCCATTTTTCTGTGCCCTGGATTTCCCTGTCACGCTTAAACTTGCCTCATCCCTGGACAGCTACCCTTTAACCTGTTTGCCTCGATCTCAGAGCCTTGACCATTTCTTAGTTTTTTACCTGACTTCTGCCTCTACATGTTTGACCTCTGTCTGACTTGGATTATGGACTTTTCTCTGCTAATCTGTCAGACACCTCTGCAGCGATTAAAGCCTGCTCTCTTCCCAGCCGACTTACTGCCTGCTGGGACATTGTCTCCCTTACTGGTTCCTCTGAAGAGTTAAGGACGAAACCAACACAATCAAGTCCCCAGTCCAAAGTGTGATAAGGTTAATTGCTTTCCTATTAAGTGTTTTTTTTTACAAAATAAAAAACAAACTCTTTAACAGCCACCGACACGTTTTCTTTTTAAAGGTTACTGCTTGTTTTTGCAAAGGTTTCATAACTGCCATCAGTTGTTTTTTTTTTTTTTTGTTGTTGTTGCTAAAAATACATCTCCAAAATAATATTTGTGATTGGAAGGCCTTTAAGGGCCCACGGTGATTTGGTGATTTAAACAAAGTTAAACATTTATTTTTTCCAGAATATTTTCCTGGTGATTAAGGTTAAAGGTTCTTCTTTTCAACCAGCTCTACAATAGGCACTATTCTCTTCTAACTAGGCCTGATGTCTGGAGCTTGATCACCCCTCACTGCTCAATAGTTGATATTTTGAAAATCCGGTTCTTTTTCAGATCAGTGAACGCACCATAATTATGTAGCAGCGTAAGGTACAGATAATTCTTGTGATGTTTGTCATCTTTAGGGTCAAGTTGTCTGAAGAAAAAAGTTTGGGCGAGCAGAGAGATGAATTAAAACAGGAACAAGTATCTATGACGTGTCCAGATGTGGCTCAGAGATCGAGATTTACAACTGATAAAAGGGAAGCATCCGAAAGCAAAGTGGCATATTTTGAGGGCATGTTTTTTTTTCTCTCTGAATGTTTAAACTGTCGCTTATAAAAGATATTAAATTTGGAAATGATAGCAGCTCTTTGGTGAGCTCACAGTTTAAATAAGGTTGTACTTATCCTAACAAGCTCCAAACACTGCTCTAATCAAATTATATATTTTAGTAAAGATTTTAAAAGGTAACATCCCAAAGAGTTTATTTTATTATCAAATTAAACCCCACTATTTAACATTAGATTTTTACACATACACCATGTCATTGTTTTATTTATTTATTTTTTAAAATATAAATAAGAAATGACTGCTAACAGAGAGGTTATAACAGAAAAACTGATTCAATCTTTAAATATCTCTTCATGATCTTTAAGGAGAAATGGAAAAATCTGAGTAAAATGTTTAATAAAAAATCAACGTAAATCTGGACCAGTCCATATTTGATCCAGGACTCAATGTGCTCTACAACGCACTTTGGTTTGCATCTAAAGATCCATGAATTGTACATGTTGGTGACCTTAAAACTACCAGAGCAAATTTAGGAAAGAAATATTTCTAAACCTGGCTTCACCTCTTTAATACTCATCATAATCCAATTCCAATTTTATTCATAAAGCACTTTAGTACATATACAAAAATCAGACAATGGCAAAAAATATTAAAAACCTGTAACTTAAGAAAATTAGAATAATATACATCATAAAGCTAGTGTGTTTGCCAAGGAAGGTCACAATATAGACCTCTGTGTTACTCTCAGAATCTCTTAAACCGACCCTAGTCATTTAAATACTGTAAGTCTGAAAGAATGACATCAAAATCCTAGAAAACGTGTGAATGCAAAGTTGCCTTGTTACTATAGAAACCACTCGGTACTCCAGCTGGCCTCCGCAGCAAAGAGCGTAGGTGGAAAATGAGAGAAACTGCCGAGATTTCAATGAGCAGCCTGTAGAAGAATCAATTATAATTCTGCAAAGTTGCTTCCATCGCCTTATTAAACTAAACAAAAAGCTAAGCGCTTGTATTTGGAGAAGTACCGGAGTAATAGGTGTGTTTCCCCTCCATAAGTCACTCTCACTAATGCATTACTACTGTCTCTGTAAACAGCACTGTAGATAGACACATCTTGTAGATGTGAAATTGCATTCAATACATTACATTTGTGCCTACTACATGGATTAATGGAACAAATAACATTAATGAACCTGTCAGTGCTTTGGTGGGTCAACATTATGATTAGTGAGGTACATAAATATCCTGAAGGAATAAGATTGGTATTTTTCTTAAATAAAGAGACAAATTTCATGCTAATAGGTCTAGTATTAAATATACAAATACTGACAGAGACTGATTTAACCAAACATATTAAAAGCTACAAGGGATTAAAGCTTAATGCCATTGTGACTCTTAGGACATGTTAAAGACAGCTTTGAATGGGAACAAATGCAGAAACATTTTAAAAGGCCTAAATGATTTCATACCAAACAAGCGTTGAAGTCAGATAGGTTCTATTATAATTAAGTATTTCCTATCTAACCTGCAGTAGATTAATAAATCACTTAGTTCATCCAGCTTGAAGATAATGAGGAAAAATCTCCATATTTTTAAGCTGAATGGTGATATAGAGTATATTTTTCTCACTATGTTTCTCTTTTTATAAAGCAATTAATAAAAGGCACATCTGAATCAAAGCTTTGTCCCTAAATGTCACACAGGCAAACAACTGTAGATAAATATATGAAATGGCAACAAAAAAAATATGCCGCTGGCATAGATAAAACTAGAATGGCAATGTAACGTACCCCCATCCCAAAATAAACCATATAGTTTCATATCGCTTTTAAAAATATGCCAATATTTTAAAAATCGTGAAGTATTGCTAAGCCCTAGTTGGTTGGTGTATTTGAATGTGATTTAATGTAGAATATAGTTGTCACAGTCTTGGTTTTGTTATGTTTATTTAGAGTATTCAGCTTTACTTTGCTTCTTGTTTTAGTGTTTAATTATTATTTTGTCGTTTTCTTGTTAGTTCCTGTCTTGAAGGTTTTCCATTTGTTGTCCTCTGCTGCCCTCTTGTGTCCTCTTTCCCTAGCATTGTTTTCTGCTCTGTCCTCACCTGTTTTCAATCCTCTCGTTAGCCCTCTCTTTGTCTCTGTCCCCTTTAAAAGCTCTCCTTCTTCAGTTCCTGTTTGCTGGATCCTCGTCTAACATCTGTCTGCTTACCTTGTCTCTCCCTGGCTCCTAGAGTTTGGTTTTTCCCTGATGTCTCCTTGGTTCTGATTTGCTTGTTATTTTTGTTGGATTTTTTGATTCCTGGATCAGTTCCTGTGAACCTCATTAAACCCACCTAAATTCACCTCTGCCTACTTGCCTCTGCATTTGGGTCCTCAATCAAACACCAAACCCTGACAATATTGGCTCTAACATTTTATTTCGTGGCAAAGTTTACTAATCTAAACCACTTTAGATGTCTGGTTAAAAACCAAGAGTTTAATCTAGTCTCCTGTAGATAAATTGTTGCTTATTGGTCCATTTTAGACAAGACTTTACTTCATAAAAACTCTTTAAAACTTTGTTTTTAAAGTAATGGGATGAAAAAACTGTAACATATTTAACCAATGTCTAAAGCAGGTTGTTAGCTAGTTTGCTGTAGCCTGTAAGTCTTTAAGGTGAAAATAATAACAATATTGATCTCACATTGGAGAAATTTATCTCTGCATTTATCCCATCCCCTTGGGGATCAGTGGGCTGCCATTGTGCGGCGCCCGGGGAGCAAGCGGGGGTTAAAGGTCTTGCTCAGGAACCCAGGTTTGCTGGGTTCAGCAGGCTGTGGGGACCAAACCGGGTACTTGCAACCTTCTCAAAGGACAAGCGCACAGCTCTAAACGCTAGGCCAACACCCCCCCGTAATTTAAATAGGATTAGTGACATCTTTCTTAATTATAATGAATCTTTAAAACAAACTTTTTGCACAACAATGATTTTGTCAGCAAGAAATTCATTATTAAGTTTTACCTGCTCCAATTTATTAATTCTTTAGAAATAGTATTTTGAATCAAGATGAGGACTGCATTTACCTGGGAATGCTGGGGGGGGCCCTATTAGGCCGGCTGGGTGCCTGAGGGCTATCAGCACTATTATTGAAGGGTCCCAAAGGTCCCGGCCTGTTTGGCGGTGGTGGGGCCCCTCTGGGAGCCGGCCGCTGGCCTGAAGACATCCTCCTAGGTGCTGTGGGGCTGGGTGGAGGAGACCTTGACAGCAAAAGGGTTGTGATTAAAAGAAAAACTCATAATTTTGTATATATGAAAGCCTCTGGATCATATCAGGCCAGTATTGTTTTCATGTCTATATCACATCCATCTCACCTGCGACCACCGGCAGCTCCTCCCACCCAGGAGCTGTCAACAGGCGGAGGCATAGGGGTTGTGATAGTTGATGTAGAGATGTCTCCTATAATGGCCAAGGCCTCTTTTAAGGCCTGGTGGGTCCTCAGCACCTCATCCCTTCGCTGGGCCTGCTCCTGGGACTCATCCATCAGGGCGTTCTGGTCACCTGCAGAGTACAGGCACGCCAGCAGCTCCGCATTGATGAAGTCCTTCACCTGTGACAAGACAAAACACAGAAGAAAAAAAGAATTAGAGCGGTGACAGCAAGAGTAAGTAACTGCCGGTAGGATGTGTTTAACTTCACCAGGTGATGATGAATGCACTGGTGAAAGCAAGCAGGTTGACAGCTGACAAGATGTTCAGAGAGATTGAAAAAGACAGCCATATTAAGGCCAAAGTTGTTTTCTTGACCTTTATTGAAGAAAATGGATGGATAGGGACCGTCCTGCGTGGAGTCAATAAAGCTCTCTTAATATCGTTTAATTCTATCTCTTTGAGCTCCACTTTGCAGATGTGGTTTAATATGTTGCTGTTGTTCTCTTTTCTGTGTAGTGATGACTGTGGTGAATCATTTTCTGTGCTGGTTTAATCTCCCTGGTCATTCCAACTGATTCAGAGAAGAAAATTATATCGATGCATCACTTAGGAAGAGTTGTTCCATAGTTATATGTAGGGCTGCGGGTTATACAGAAATTGTATTTGATATGCAACTATTTCATCCTCTATCTAGGCTCTAAAACGCTTTTTCTGCGACAGTTAGTTTAGACGTATGGAGAAGAATGGTGTTAGCGAGCAAATTTTAATGTTGTATTAGAAACATTCTTTGAAAATTACAAATGTATATTTTTGTCACAGAGTTGAAAATGATGTATGGACGATATTGATTTAAAATGTATCCTGAACGCTCTAAAGTCTCATATTATGGCTCTGCTCACGTTTATTAGTGTTTTTCTTTAAATACATAATAGCATGACTCATACAGGATCCAGACTGCTGATCACTGGATGTTATATATCTATTTTAGCTGATTGTGGCTGCTCTCGTATGTTAATGGTTTTTAAACTATTTTTAGCATTCATGTATAGTCTTCTTTGAACTAATACAAAGATGGGCCTTCTTAGAAAGAGGAATTTCTAGAAAACGTAATTTCCTGATATTTCTGTACTGTTATGAAGCTGTATTAATCATCTAATATTGGACATTTAGGTGTCTATTTAGAGCACAGGCTTCCCAACAGCCTATGACTCAAAAAATAAGAACACACTAGATGAGAAAGCCCATAAAATAAAATAAAAATATATATATTTTTTAATGAATATAAAGCCAAATAATTAAATTTATCTTGAAATTATTTTAATTTTTTAATGACATATAATAATATCATTTATCATTAAAGGTATTTTTTTTATTATTTAAGGGTGCATTCTCCAATTTAATGGTATCTGGAATATTGGAATCATATATTAAATAACTGAATAAATAAGGGTAACATTATATATTTCCTGGTACATTTATTTTTTTTCATTGGAAATTACCATTTATGTATTTCAGAATATATTTTGGCCCTATATACCTCAGTGATCACATCACACTGGTGTGTTATTATCAACTGGGGGGCTTTAACTCCCTTTTTGAAAACATCAGAGGTGTAGATCCAGAGGAATAAAACAATGACTTTCCACAAAACATCTACTTTTTCCATCTCTGCATTTCTGGAAAATTGTGTTTATCTCTTACATTGTTGATCATCAGATGCATGATGGTCTTTGGGATGAGGTCCCTGATGCACTTGTTCACAATAGCCATGTAAGAATCCACCAGATTGCGGATGGTTTCAACTTTACGCTCCAGCTGAGGGTCCATGGAGAAGTTATCTGTGGCTGTGGTGGTCTCACTCTCAACCTGCAGAGGGAGGAAAAGTTCATGTCCTTATGTTAGAATGACATCACTAAGGAGTTAAGATTTTATTAAAAGAAAAAGCAATTTCAAGTATTGACATTTTTACCACTCCTTTATATGAGCACATTTAGAACAAGCCTTTTTCCACTTTGTGATAAAACAATGATGATGAACAAAAACAATGATAATCTAATATTCAATGCAGTGCAGTAAAACAACATTGATCACAGAATCAATTGCTGCAATACTGGAATATAGTTAATCTAAAATGCCAAAGAAATAAAGCAGAAAGTTATTAGTTATGGAAATAAATCAGCAACGTTTATGCTGTTAATGTTTGGATATAAAACACCCACATTCCCTTTATGTGCTTTAATTGTAGTGATGTTTCAATCACTCTGTATTAACCTGTAGAGACTAAATACTGTATATTTTTTGCTATCATTCAAACAACAGTCCCCTTATTTTCCATATTCATAGATTTTAATCTCCTTTATAGCCAAAAATGAAGCTTTTTCAGTACAATAGGAGGAGTCAGCATCTGTTAGGACTGTTTTTTCTTCTGCAGAGAAGAACTTTTTTTGTCAATTAAATCAAACATCAAAGTTCATCAACATTCAGTATGTCTGTCTAAAGTAATGAGAAATAAAAGTGAATTTCATTCTTGCTTGTGCCAAAGCACATCACAACCGCCAACTTTGATGCTTGTTATTGGGATTTTTGTCCTTTATCTGATTCCTGTTGATCTGAGAATTTATTTTCTCCAAAGCTAATTTTAAATATCTATGTTTGTCATTGGTTGTGTGAAAAATCTAAGCCTGAGCTCAGTGACGATGTTGAAACCAAATACAGCAGCTGCTCTGACATTGAGATTTTCTCACTGAGCTGCGCTTAAGTGGATTCACTAACTGTGATGGTCTTCTCAGGGTAGACCCCGGCACGTAGGAGAGACGACTTCCAGCTGTCCACATCATCCTGGGAGTCACAGGCCAACTCCAGAGTGCGATTGTCCTTGTAGACATTCCTAAACAAAATAACATGCTTTTAGCGGGGATCTTATTCTGTCTTAGTGTAAAGCCTTCAGATGATGTAATAGAACCTAATATATGAAATGTTTAAGACATTCCAAGCTAATATGTTCATAAGGAAAGTGAGTAAAGTCTTTCACACAACATGCTGTAGCAATTAGTGAAAGTAAAGCATCAAATGAAACCTTTCTACACAGATTCTGCTTCTTATTAAGAATTCATAGTTGTTTAAAATCTATTTGCGTGTTTTGTTCATATAATCATTTTCAGTCCAAAATCTCTTTAGTAATCTATAATAATCCAATAAATAAGGGTATTAAATAAACTAAAACTAGTGATGAATTTGCCCAGTGTTTAATCCTTGTTTTTTTTTCTTGTTTTTTTAAATAAATGATTGAACTTAAGTTACAAATAAAACTGAGCTCCAACTAGCTGTTGTTGATCTGCAGACTAGGCTTATAGCAGCCACACTCTAAAGTAAAATCCCTGCCTGCATTTATGTTTACAATTTGCACATCTGTATTGTAACCTCTACAAGTGGTATTGTCGATCTATTATATGATTGGTTCTGATCATATTCTGGAGCTCAGACATCCCAAGCTGTTCCACCGGAGCTTCTTAGAAAACAGCTAAAACATCACTCCACAAATTTTAAGATTTCAAATCAGAACTCTTTAAGACTTCCACACCAGAACCTTGATAAGAAGCATATCAAGGTGCTTTGAAGAGAGCTTAAACTCCTTGTTTCTCAGGGACAGCCCAGAAACCCGACTGATCTAGAGAAGATCTATGTGGAGGAATGGGCCAAAATCCCTTCTCCAGGGTGTGCAAACCTTGTGAAAAACTACTGGAAACTTTTGACCTCTGTAATTGCAAACAAAGACTACTGTACCAAATATTAACAATGATCTTCCAATACTTATTTGCAGCTGTATCATACAAATTTAATAGTTTAAAACAAAATCAGATATTGTAACTTTTTGTCTCTTGCAGTTACATGTAACCTGACTCCGCCAGATGGATTTGCTCCGCATATCCATCTGGAAACCTTCCGTTGAAGTAATTTTGGGAAGGGGCGAAAATACTGGTTAGCTGATTGGCCTATGTTGGTGATAGACGGGCAAAATAAACCAATCAGATCAATGACGCATATGATGTACTACCAGAGCGACGACGAAAACACAAGCCAGGCTACTCTTGCCGAAACCAGTCGGGAGAAGAGCAAAAACATATTTTCCTCTGAGAAAAGCCTCCAGAGCAGTGTTTTGCTCTTCTTTCAGTGAAGAAATACTCGATAGCCACGCTAACGCTAGTTTCATCGGCTGAAGCCGCCATGTTCTTTAGACTGAACTGTCGCGCTTCTCGTTGCGTCACACCTCAACCCGCCTCAAAGCCAACGCTGATTGGACGTTCGTTTGGTGAACGGCTCCAAATTTTCTTTAACGGAGAGTCTCCAGACTGATCTGCGAGTGAAACCTTGAAAGCTCACGAGATCAGGATGGTCTCGCGAGGCTAGTGGACATGCACCTAAGAGGACAATATCAGACCCCTCCATGATTTGTAGTGCAGCGAAAATTTCAGCAGACCCCACACAACCTGGACATGATCTTTTTAGACTTTTTAGATTCAGTTTGATGATACAGTGCGCTATTGTCATAAAAAGCCAACCAACTCAGAGGCGGTTTATTGTGCTGTCTGTCAGTCACCTAACAGTCGGAGTGCCCAGGATGATACCATGCAGAGTCAATAAATCCCTACCTGAAACATATTTCCCCTCATAAACTAGTTTAACTGATTATCATGCAAAGATTAATTTACAAGCTAGAACCACTTGCAGCAGACCTGGACTCTGTGTTGAAGATGGAGAATATATGCTTGCTTGACATGAAACTTTTCTCCACATCGCGGACCTTCAGGTTGTCCAGGGGTAGCATGTACTTCTTCTCCTTCTCCTGGGGGAGAGGAAGGAGGACAACGATGAGTTAAGAAAATCTTAAGAAGTTATTTTGGTATGTTCAGCATCAGGCCAGGCAAGCAACTGCAATGTGTGATGCTAGGTGAATGCAAGGGAGAGAGATTGGAGCACGCAGGAAAGAGTGAGGGGTGATGTAAAGGGAGGAGGAATGGGGGAGATATGAGAGTGGGAGGTAAGGCAGGAGCAGAGAAAAGGGAGAATGAGAACACATGTGGAAGTCATTACAGTTTGGGTCAGGATGCAGTCGTTCTTCATGGTGCGCTTTAATGCAGAGTAGCGCTAGTAGCTAAAACCCAAGGAAAGTCTGGTTGGGGGTTAAGATGTGGGGTGGGGGGGACTGCTGATAGGTAAAAGCTACGGCTGTTGAGAAAAACCTAAGCTCAAACTCAGCTAGACCCTACCGAGGCCCAGGCTCAAGTAGATAAAGATTAGAGATCCTTACCCTTCAGTTTACACTTTATCCCAGCCTACACTTCTTAACTCTGCCTGTCTGTTTTCTTTTATCTCAATATTTTCTCTATATTTTTTTCTCTCCATTCCAAAGGGGCCCACTTCCTGCCCAATTTTTTTCTTTTTTTGTTCAGGGAGGGAGAGAGAGCGAGAGAGATTAAATGACAGCCTGCCGTTAAAACTCAACATCTGGTAGTGCTTAGCAGCACACAGAGAAGCGGGGAAAGGAGGGAGAAGTTAAAGAGACGGCGGAGCGATAGAGGAGGTTAGAGGCTGAGGAGAAGAACAAGAAAAAGAGACTGTGAGGCCGATTCAGATAAAGATCCACAAAAGAAAGCCTGGCGGTCTGGAAAGCTGAGGTTTACAGTCACAGGTAAGATTCAGAGGTTATGGAAGAAGAACTGTACATAAACTTCAGGGTTGGATTCCCCAAGGGGTCACCACGGTCCTTATATGGTCAGCCGGGACCCCTCCCTCTTCCTCTCCCTTTCTTGCAACCCCTCCCTCCTGAGCGTCTCTCTTCCCTCTTTTTTTTTGTAATATCCCCTCCCTGAACGCACAGCCAGTGTGTCCCAGTCGTCTGAGCGAATGTGCCACGTCAAGGCTGGATACTCTTCATGACCTGAAACGGACCAGTCCAGGACGCCCCGACCTAAACAATTAAACAGGCCGGGAAAGGCTTCCAGAAAACCAGAAGCAGCAGACATGGATGAGGCCTACCGCTACGTTTCGATAAGGGTTTTGGGGATCCTTTGCTGCAGGAGCGGAGAGAAGGGGGTGGCAGGGAGGGTGCCGACGGCAGAGTTGTCCTTCGAGCATCTGGAATGGCAGCACACAAGGCCTGGCTCTCCACCCCGGCTCCGTCCACCCAGTGTTCAGACTACCTGTTCATTATCATACTGGTGTACAGTAGTCTGCACATTGGTTAGACTGGGCACGGACCATCTTCTGTCAGTCTGTCTTACTGTGTGTCACACTGTTTTTCAATATATGCTTTTTTTTTCATCTGTGTCTGAGGTTTCAACCTGATTCCTTCTAATCTTTGTCCAAAGAGCACTCTAACATTCACTTGCTTCCTGCTTGCTAGCACTTTGCAGAATAAACTTGTACCACCAGTTTTCTCACCACTAACTTGAAATATTGCTATGTGCATACCTTGGTTTCAAATCAATGCTCGGAGCATAAAAAAGAAAGCAAATTCACATAAATCATTGAAATCAAATGAGTGAGCATACAGTCACTCTAAAGATGTGGTTGTCTGGAAGGGAGGGGGAGAGTAGTGAAACCGGCAGCAAAGCAGTGAGCCTGGGCCAATATAGCAAAGGACCAATCAATCAAGTTGGGTTTTAAGGTATGGTGAGACACCCTCACAAAACGTATTTCTATGGGTGGCCTAAGCCTTAGAGGACACTTGCGTATGCTGAGTTGTAACAGATCTAATAAAAGCAAAAACTGCACAGACTAAATTAAAACACACATAAAGGAGTAGTTTTAGCTAAAGACCAGCACTGTTCCTGCAAAAGATTAAACAGTTTCAAAGCAGTGCCTCTTCTCCATGAAGTTTTGGAGGGAGGTGAAGTAAGAGGTATTGATTTCTTTACAGAAAGTCTTCTCCTCACTAAAATGCTAGCCAATGATGTTTAGGTTGAAAACGCTCCAACCAAGAAGTTCCAAAGGAACTGCCAACTTCATTAATATAGGGAGGAGGGAGGTAACATCGGCATACGTGCATGTGTAGGCAACCATAGAAAGTTCAAGAGGGTGTAAAACAGAAATACACAAGGCGAAGAGCACAGAGTCTGTAATTACCAACATTACCGCACTAACGTCTCGGATGGCAATCCGTGCGGCCCCCATGTGCCGTGCCGTCTGAGGGCTGAGTGGGCTGTCATGTATTTTGGGTGACTGCGAGAGTGAGCATTTGGTCGGGATTGGGACTGCTCCAATTTTAGTGAAGACGAATTGAATGGCTAAACTCCCAGTGGAAGGAGGTGTGGAGCAAAGAAACAAAAACGAAGAGGGAAACTCCAGAAAATGAGAGAAAGTGCATAAAGAGCACAACGCGATAACATTAACATTATGAAGCAGTCACAACAAACCGAAATCGGTTTTATTCAGAAACTCCTTACAGCGTAACTTTCTTGGGAATTCATGGTAGCCTTTTAGCATCTCCTGAGCAACAATGCAGCATCAAAACCATCTGACCGAAAAAGCTGCCGTGTGTCTGCCTATCTACACTTGCTGTACAGAATGTCCTCCAACCTGTACAGCAGGCACAGACAGGCAGAGAGACGTCAGCCTGCCACAAAGAGCCCAGCACGTCTGACCAAATGCTGCATCCTGTTGATGCACGCTGTCAATGATGGAGTCCTTTAATTGCCAAACCTGTCATCTTTGAGCAGTGTAAAACATTTTCAAAATTAGCCTGCTTTAAACTATGAAATATTTCAATCATCCCATATGGAGACTTTAAATATGTTGTTTTTGTTTATTATTATTTGTTGTATCCTTAACTTTGAAAGGGAAATTATGCAGTAGATGGATTTTCTTTAGGTACTTCATGTGTCCAAATCCGGTGCTTTTTCTTTTGCAAGGCTTTACTTTAACATCAGGTAGTCACATTAGATGCAAATACATTACATGTTCCATTCTATATATGTGCTTCACATAGGAAGTTCTTTGGTGGCCCACCTCCTCCTACTTATGGCTATGTCCTGTGTAAATAATCTTCCTCTTCCCTGTCCAACACAAACACAACGACTGTCATAAAACAGCAGTTTTTGAGATCAGAGCCATTTTTTAAAGACCCTAGACATCTTCTATGGTCTTTGCTCCATTAGCTTCCACCTACAGTACTTAACCTACTCCTCAAGGTTCATGCTGATGAAAATCCAGTTATCTCCAGCAAATACCAGAAATGTTTTAACATTTTAACAGAGCTTCACTTCATAAATTGTCAACTATCTCATAAGCACGTTGTAGTTGGTTTAATACCAATACTAGGCTTAAACTTTCATAAAGACAAGTTAATTTACTAGGGGTGAATTAACCTGATGATTATTATAGCCTTAGTGAACTAACAGAGGCTGCTTCAAACTTACCTCATCATCCTTGAACCAGGAGAGACTCTCAGCAGTCAGCACAAACCAGTACTCCTTGGCTCCTCCTTTAATGATGCTGATGTTGTTGATGGTCAGCCACCCTTTACGGATAACCTAAGATGGAACGTAAAGCCAAAATACTTCATTAGGAAACATGGGATATTGTCATCTGATCAAATGGAGGACTTTTAATGTGTGTGAAGGTTAAATTGATTGTAATTACATGTGTCTGTGCTGCCTCACGCTGCGCTCAATGAAAGATGCATCTCTGCAACATGTTTAGTGCTTCAAACCTACGATAAAGCGTGTGTGTGCCTTTCAAAACAAACTGTCCGATGAGTCCAGTGCCAAGGGATTACTGGGTTAGATTACTGGCAGACCTGCACTGCCTAAGACTGACTAAGCAGGTTACCCACATCTTTATTAAATCTCTTTCTCATGGCTGCTAATAATAAAGTTGAACAATAGAGATGAAAGGAAAAATTAAAAGACAAAATAATTAAATTAAAATATTTCCATGCATGAATGGGTGGGTTAAAGACACCATGCAGCACCTTTTTTTTTTTTTTGTACAAGTTAAAGAAAGAGTTTCTGCCCCACTGCAGTTAGTGAGCATCCCTAACATGGCAGGTAGGGAAACAAAAGCAGTGCTGAACAGCACCACACACTGGGAAGGAGCAGGACTGCAGGCAAAGATGACATTGCAAACCATGACCCACAATGAGTGATACTCACCAACAGAAACCCTTGAGAGGGTAGCTGAGATTCTCACTAAGGGATGGGGATGAAATGCAAGGTGGCACCTTTATGACACAGGGAGGGTTCAAACAAAGGGAAATGTCTCAACAACAACACCAGGTATGATGGTGGCAAAAAAAAGTGATGCTTAACAAAAATAAATTTAAAAAGCAAACAATGTTCACTAGAGATGCACCGATTACAGAAAATATTTAGATTTGTTGTTAAGCTCTGATTTCTCAAATCTGATTGTCAACAATTATCATTAAGATCTACATAAATTAATTTTAAGAAAATACCTTTTTTAATGGTGGATTATTTGAAATTACTTAACAATGAAATGTAAAATTTAAATAAAAAAACATTTCTTCAAAGTAAGATTTCTTTCTCTGCATCATAAGTAATGTAAATAGAGTTAAATCTTCCAGGTTTTGCTTCAAATTTATCTACACTGGAAAAAATCTAAATCTAGAAAAGTTATTTTTTCTTAAAATAAGTGAATTTTTTCTTAGATTGAGGAGGTAAAAGAGACATTTTGCCAATAGACCAAGACAATTTACACTAAAAATAAGAATACACAATTGCATTGTCTTATTTTAAGTGCATGTTATCTAATTATCTTATTTTAAGAGTAAAACTACTCATTCCATTGGCAAACTATCTCATTTACCTACTCTAATTAAGGGTAAATACACTTAATTTAATAAGTTTTTACTTATTTCTAGATCATTTTTCCAGTGTATGATGATAAACTGACTTAAAAAAGTGAGCTCTTGGTTGCTCCTTTAAAAAAACAAATAATCCTTTAATAACTAACTAACCATTTCTGCACATGTCTAAAAATAACCACTATGACAGCTTTTCGTTTAGAAAGATCTTTTCAAAATTGAATAGCAACAGTTATTAACGTTATATTGGAGCTTTCTTTGCACTTTCATGTTAGATCCTTTTGTTTATCATAACTGTACAAACTTTTTTCTTTGACGGATCACTTATTATTTACATCAGGATCAGAGGCAGTATCACTCGATGCTGTAAAGCACAGAAAATATTATTAATAAGTTACAATCTTAATATCTTGTATGAGCAATCAGCAAGGTTACATTACTTGTAAAGTACACAGGCCCCATCTGTACTTGTCAGACTGAACAGTATTGCAAAATTTCCTAATCCAGGTTGACTAATTGAAAGATCAAATTATCAAATTTGCAAAGATCAAATTTGCAAAAAGGAAAAACTAACTAATCAACTTAGCTTTCTATTAACTAAGTGTCTTTCCCAGTTGGAACAAAGCTTAAAAATCAGAAACTCATTTCTCGATGCATCTCTACTTTTCAAAACTGGTGACTAATTAAAACATTAATGCATGCAGAAAAAATGATAAATATAAATCATATTTCACTGTTGAAACTATATTTGTGAAATGAATACAATCATAAATTTAAAGCTTTGCAAATGAAGCAGAGTTTTTCTTGCTGTATTTCAGCTTAGTATATTCTGTGCAGCAGGCATATCCGAGATGTGTGGATGTGCACAGCAGCTTTGACCTGGTGCACCACCGTTTGTATTGTGACACGACAGACGTAGAACATGCTCACCTGATTTCCTGCTGAACTCTGGCTCTTATTAGTTTGACTGCTCCTCTGCTGAGCGCTGCAGCGTGGAAACAGCGACAGATACAGAACAAGGAGGTGAAAAGGGTGATAGGAAAATCAGAACAATAAAGAGAAAGGAGGGGGAAAAGGTAGATAGAAAATCTTTTAACAAATGACATTTTAGTTATTCTGTAAACCAGATAGTTAACATGTGAAATAAAAGTAAATATGTTGAAGATTTACCTAGCGAAGCCAATGAAATCCTCATGATTTGTGTTTATGTAAGAAAGCTGCAGATCAATCAGCAGCAGAACCTGAAAGACACAAAAAAACATCTATAATGAGACCTTAATGGACACAGATTTAACGTTTATTTGCTGGTTTACGCTAAGCACTAGCTGCCAGTCTTGGTGTCCGAGCAACTTGAACTGACAGTCTAAAGCAAAGACTAGGACTGAGCTCCTCTCACCTCAACCTGTTGCTGCTAACTAGTGTTTATTTCCACACTGTTGCAACAGAAACAAGGGACCTTATCTCAAAAGATTGTAAATATAGTTTGCTAAATATATATATTTTTTAAAGCAAGTGCAAAAGGATGAAATTAAAGGGTATGTTGAGGTTTCATCTTGAAAGATTGCATGAACAATGGATAACAGGTGCAAAACCGTTTATTTTATTAAAGAAAGATAAGGTTCTAAGCCATGGATGAGAGGATTATAATCATTATTATTATAAAAAAAAACATATACATATCTATATTTAATATTTAAAAAGTTAGTATGTATCTCAAAGTGGTATGAAGAAAAGTAAAATAATAAAGAGATGAAGTAAATCAAAGATAAAATAAAAGATTATATATCAATCATGAAAGCTGGGAAAGCACGCACTAGATGCACTATCCAGTTTGCAAGTGCTTTTATTCATTCGGACATTTTTAAGGATAAGGCTTAGATTTGGTTGTTTGCCATCTGTAAGAATAGTTAAGGTCCTTTTAAAATAAATTTGTAATTTTACTATTAGCCCCCCGCTGTGACTGCCTCCTGGGCACCTGAGCAATCAACCTTAGTATCTAACTATAAAATATAGTAAAGACATTTGCTTAAAAATAATCTTCTTTATTCAGATGCTAGTTCTGAATAAAGAAGATTACAACAGTGTGTTTATACAAAAATTAGCATTTTATACGGTTATAAAATGCATGATTTCATATAAACAAATATACACACTTGTGGAAGGCCTATATTAACTATAATGTGCTATAGATTATATTATTTTTCTGAAATTAATCCATACATTTAATATGTTTTGCAGCAGTACACTTCAAAAATTGAAATATAAACCAATCACCTTTTCTTATAATAAGTGAATTCTATCTTGAATTGAGAAGGAAAGTGAGACACTTTGCCAATGGAACAAGACAGTTTACATTTAAAATAAGAAAAAACAATTGCATCATCTTATTTCAAGTGCATTTTTTCTAATTATCTTATTTTAAGAATAAAAATTTTAATTCCATTGGCAAATCATTGTATTAACCTGCTCAAATTAACAGTAAATACACTTAATTTAAGAAACTTTTTCCGATGTTTGGAGTGTTTTTGCAGTGTAGGACAGTTTGTTGAATGTTTTCCTAAATACCATAATATTTACTGGGCATCATATTATGAATCTGTGGTACTTTACTGTGAGACGTTCATTCTGCAGATGCAAAACACAACAGGCTAAAACTGTTTCCTGTGCTTAGCTAAGGTAACCTACAGCATATCTGATCAACTATTAACCTGCAGCTTTAAGTGAGCCATTTACAGTATCTAAGAGTTAACAGGATCAAAGTAGATGTGTTTTTATTTCATCACTGTCATGTTACAGGAATCAGTGACTCTAGCTGCTTTTTATTTATAATCTGCACTATTAATGTGTTAAATATTGCATGAAAACAGGCGTTTTTACCTGCTCCTTGGCACGACTCTCTCTGTCTCGAATGTGAGAGGTGACGATCCTCTCAGTTTCCTCTCGCAGCCTTGGGAAGCATTCCAACTGGAAATAAAACACAGCATATAGAGCATCCAAAGAAGACAAACAGAAAAAAAAAACTTTTTAGTTCCCCCAAACTTTTTCATTCCGCTGTATAATGATTTTAACCCACTAAATTACCAACAATAAACTCTATGTAGCAGGGGCTACCTTGTTGGAGCACTGACGGACAGTATTGATCAGCTCCTGGATGACCATGTCCACACATTTGATGCATGGCTCCTTCAGCTTCACAACCTGCTTCTTCACTATAGCCTCAAATGCCATATCAGGGGTAAAAAGCCCAGTTCTGAATGAAAAAAAGACATGATTTCATGGTTTCTTTGTTGCATATTAGCAGAATTTAATATATTTTACTAAGAAATGTGGCCAGCAAGCTGATGGAGGCTCATGAGAAATCCTTACCGGATACCATGGATGTTCTTGATGGCATAACTGATCTCACGCCGCATCTCCTTCTCATCACACTCCATCTGAAGTAGAGAACAGAAAGCAGGAGATCCAGACGATGCAGCAAAAAGAAATGACTTCTAGCTTCACAAAAAGTACTTTTGCTATGAAAGTCTCCTGGCCTGTATGTTTTTGTAGCTTTTTTTTTGTAGAGAATTATTTAAAAAAATAAAAGCATTTTTTTTCCACATTGCAGTTTTGTATAAATCAGGAAGTCATTAAATATAAATTATATTTTTTACAAAAGAAAACACCTAGCCCCAGGAAGCTGGTCTGCTGCAGCTAATGGCCCTAGCCTCTCCATTGTTTTAGGAAACTGCAAAAATATAAATGAAATAAATATTAAGTGGCTCAAAATACATTTATTGTAGAATCCTGTTTAGTATCCAAGTAAGATGAGTAAAAGATCTCAAAATTCTTAAAACTTTTATGGCAGATTGTTCAAATCCTATTGTTATTTTAAATCCCGTGTTCAGTGACATTTGCAACATGTAAAAGCACTAAAAGGCGAGCACTTTTAGTGCCTTTGTCTGCTGGATTTAAGGTTCCAGCAGACAAAGGCACCATTCCACTCTAAGTCACAGGTGTCAAAGTGCAGTCCTAAAGAACCAAGGTTTTGTATCTTTTGGATGCGTTTATGTTACAACTAGACTTCATCAAACCAATAGGAACTATTGAGGTAAAGTTTGTTAGCGGTCAGCATGATAAGTGCTGTTCAGAAAGTCCTGGAAGCATCAGATCAACTTTAAAAGGTGAACCATGGGTTGTTGTTTATTTTTCATGAGGGCAAAGGGGGGAAAAAAAGGGGCAATATTTAACAAAGCCAAACTGCCTCTTCAGACTTAGGAGCTGCAGCTTGCAGATCTAGAGGATGGAAACTATGATTCGATCTAATATGGTTAAAGAAGTGTGACACCTTCATTTCCAAATTATTGGTAAGGTAAGAAATTAAATTGGTTCAAGCAAACTGTCAACCACAGTTTTCTGTGCCAGCACATATAATAAGAAAAATTATATAATATTATATCTACAGAACAGGGACCATAAGAGGGGCCAGGACCAATTCTACAGAAGGACTGGCCCTTGTTGCCCCCATCTAGAACCACCCATGGCTGATAGTGAAAAAGGAGGCAGCAAAAGGAGAAGGATATTTCCTAACAATAATTCCCTTAACATAGCTTCATAAAGTTCCTTTCTGATACTTAAGAGTGACTGATTTCCACAATCCACACTGGAAAAAAATCGAAATCTAGATAAGTTGTTTTTTCTTAAAATAAGTGTATTTTTTCTTGGATTTAGTAGGTAAAAGAGAGATTTTGCCAATGGAACAAGACAATTTACACTTAAAATAAGAAAAAACAATTGCATTGTCTTATTTCAGGTGCATTTTATCTAATTTTCTTATTTTAAAAGCAAAAATACTCATTCCATTGGCAAACTATCTCATCTACCTACTCAAATTAAGCATAAATACACTTAATTTAAGACATTTCTACTTATTTTTAGATCCTTTTTCCAGTGCATTGCGTGACAGTACATGTAAGCACAGTCAGCCTCATTGAGTTAAACAATATACAATATTTTTTTTAGAGAAAAAAGTGTCTTTACCCTTGATTTGAGTAGGTAAATGAGATAGTTTGCCAATTGAATGAGTATTTTTACTCTTACAATTAGATAATTAGATAATATGCACTTAAAATAAGACAATGCAATTATATATATTTTTTTATTTTAAGTGTAAATTGTCTTGTTCCACTGGCAAAATTCCCTTTTTTACCTCCTCAATTCAAGAACAAATGCACTTATTTTAACAAAAAATTACTTATTTCTATTTTTTCAAGTGAATGTACACATCTTTACATTTTGGTTTTTTATAATGGAGAGCTTCATCTGTTTTCTATATAACTTCTGCTTTTTGTGGTTCTTTTTGGGAAGGTTGTAGTCCCATTTTGACTAACATCATCCATGTTCATTTCATCAGATAATGACGTCCAGAAGAATAAAGGCCTTCCGCATTAAGCACAGCAGCCTGGAGCTCCTTTTCCACTTACGATAGCGATCTTACTGTGGACTGAAGGGTTAAGAAATGACAACTAAGAGCTAAAACTCAATAAATTCAGGTTGAGGGTAAGACTGCATGCTGAGGAGGTGTTTCATCCATTTGATTCAAGTACGTTGGACCAGAAAACCGGCACTAGAGGACTTGAGCTAACACTCTTGCTCTCCTGCAACCCCAGGTTTGTGAATGATTTAGGTCTTGGAACTGAGATGAATTAAGGAGAGGGTTTAGTGTCTGCTGAACCTTTCTGTGCTAATTTGTTTCATTTTCCTGCTAGAATACTTGTTGAAAACTCCTTCTAGTCATGCAGGAGCTCAGAGCTGCACTTCTCCTGCATTCCTCTAACAGCTTAGAAAATTCTTTCCCTTCCTTTGTCACTCTGCTCTATGTGCGTGGGGGGAAATTAGATATGTGTGATCAGACTTTATTTGTTCACAACAGTTCCTGTTGTTTGAAGCTGTTTATCTGTTCCTCCGGAGAAGCATAAACCAAGTTTTCTTTACGTCTTATAGTGAATGTAAAGACTGCCATTTGGTCAACAATACAATTATTTTTAAGTGGTATTTCTAACCCATTGCCTAAATGTCCTCCTAGTAGGGTTTTATATTTACACGTTCAAAAATAATGCAGCAATTAGGGATACATTTAGAGTATTTTAAGACATTCATTTTTAACTCTGAGTTGTTCACCTTGACCAGTTCAAAAGGGAAGCGCTCATGAAAGACGCGATTGATTTTTGCTCCACCAGACAGCTCAACTGTGTCCACCTGATCCCCCGAACCTTCAATCCTCTTCTCAAAGTCCACAGAGAATTGTTGCACCATTCTGAAATTCAATAAATATGCATTAAAAACACAGATATCAGCTGAATAAAGCAAACTCTGGTTTCTGGAAACACGAAATAAGCAGATAAAGAATGGCAAGGAAAAGAGAAGGAGGGAAATTCCTTTCACATAGTGTTTGTGTCAACAGCGTCTCGTGTTGCTTCTGCTGTGGGAAAAATGCTTTACTAACTGCAGCAGCTGTTTGGTTTTGCGAGATGGGTCATCAGGACGGTATCCCCGGTATTCTTCTGCCTCCTTGTCTAGAGCCAACAGCTGGGCCTGAAGCTTGCTGCGGAAAGCTGGCAGCGTGTCCCGAATGTGGTTAGTCAGTTGCTAAGGAGAAACAAAAACCGAGAGGGCACAAGTTTAACACAAACTCAAAAGTAAAATGAACGTTATATCATAATTGTGTGTTTTTATATATATATATATATATATATATATATATATATATATATATATATATATATATATATATATATATATATATATATATATATATATATATATATATATATATATATATATTTAAATGGCTTTTTGTGTTTAATTCATTGTAATCTGGGATGCTGTGAAATTCTGATTTATTTGCAGCTGAACCAGACAGACATTCTCAGCCTTGTAAAACCTCCATCAGCACCAAGTGATAAAAGCACAAAAGAACCAGAAAAAAAAAATAGGTCACTCTCTTATTAATTATGTAAAGTGCAGACAGAGTGTAAATCCAGCGTACCTGGTTGAGCACTTGCTGCAGATGAGGGGTGCCCATTTTTTCGGCCATGTGCCTGTATGACGGGTGGGACAGGAAGAACTTCCTCTCAGCTTCTAGAGCAGCCTTGATGTCTTTCTTGCCTTCGATGTCCTTCTGACTGCGGTTCACCACACCGATGTACCCTGGGCGACAAATAACAGAGGAGGATGGAAACTGAGGGAAATAATCTGATATAATAAGTAAAAGTTTTTTTAAAAATTGCAACCATGACTGCAGAAAAAAAAACGGCAGGGTTATTTTTTATTTTTTTTTGGAACTTTATTGCCTTAAATGCAGGTTATCAAGCATTACGCATCATACAGGGAAACAGAAAGAGGCAGGCAAACATAAAAAAAAAATAAGTAAACACAAAAAACAGTAAATAATAATAATAATAATAATAATAAAACAGAAATTGAGTCCAGTCTGTCATACTGTTGAGCGTATAGCACATATCTTATCAAGCCTTGATAATAACAACAACAATAATAGTGATGCATGGATAGAGTAAAAGTGTATAAGAGTCCTAAATAAGATAATCAATAACAGGGGTCCATCTTCTCAGGAAAAGAGGCACTTTCATCTGTAGTTGTACAGTCATATGTTCCATTGTGTAGACCTGTTTTACCTTCTGGACCCACTGAGGGATCGTGGGAGGGTCAGACTTCATCCAGTTAATAGTAATATTTTTTCTTGCTATCATCAATAGAATATGTAGTATGTAGCATTGTTCTGCGGTAAACAGGTGGTCGAGAAACACATCTAATAAAAAAATCAAAGGGTCCATAGGAAGATCCACTGCCAAAATAGGGTTATTTTTTAATTCTATATATAAATACACACCTCTTCGAAGTGGAAGAAGTTTGTTCTCTAAAACATCTCGGGCATCTGTTCCTTCATCCATCAGATCCAGTTTGGTTATCACTCCAATGGTCCTTAGACCTTAGACACAAAAAGCATGAAATAAGGAATAATTAGTTAGTTACACCACAATACAGAACAAACCTTGAAGTTATCCGCATGATGTCATATTATAACTGCCAACTTCCTTTTGTTTTATTAGTATTTTTATGCTACAAACTGACACAAAGTGAACCATCATTTTTAGAGGATATGTCTGAGGGGCTCGGGCATCTTTATCGGATGCCCCCTGGATGCCTCCCTTGGAAGTGTTCCTGGCACGTCCCCCAGTAAAGACCAGGCACACGATGGATGGACTACATCTGATCTAAAATCATAGGAGGAGGAACTTGACATATTTTTGTAATGAACAAATTGCAAAAATGGCTTAAGTGTTTCTCTCTTCATCAGAACATGTTTTTTTTCACTTCAAAACAAACCGTTATCTTTTATACCAACAGACATTTAAATTCTAAATTCTTTGTAATGTGTTTTTTTTTTACTGTACTTTCTTTACCATTTTTTGTGTATTTATGTGTTGTTGTTTTTTTTTGTATTTACTATTTTAGTGCTTTTATAAAATTTGATCACTAAACTCCCTATCAAATTTTCTTTTTAATCATTTCATTCATTTATTTATTCTTTATTTGTTTTGTTTGTCGCCTGTGCTGCTCAAACGAATTGCTGCTGGAGGGATTAATAAATATTCTAAATCTAAACCTGTTGGCTGAGCTAGGAGCGCCTCAGGCTTTCCCTCATCAGAGCTCAAGGACATTTCTGGGGAGAGGGAAGTCCGGGGGTCTCTGCAGAGACTGCTGCCCCTACAAACAAGTTCCGGATTAGGACAATGAGTACAAATATGCATACGAATAAAGGATATATGGATTTATAAATTTTTAACAATCATAAAATTTGAAAAGTTTTGTTTGTATTTGTATTCACTCCCTGTAGGTTTTGATTCTCCTGCTTAAAATGCAGAGAGCTCAACCTCCTCCAGAATTCTGCAAATGACACACCAGAGTCCATCCGTGTGTAATTCAATTTTAGCATAAATAAAGTTATTATTTGAAGACTTCTACCGAACATTAATCATGGGAGTAGCCAAGAGGCCAGATGTTGCTTTGGGAGAGAAACAGAGATCAGCAACTCGGGTGGAAATACATGTGGACATGACAACAGTTATTAATCCACTTTACAATCCTGACCTTTAAGAAAGTGTGGCAAAAAATGTGCATTTTCCTATAAGCTATGACGGAGATACAGAAAACAATATGCTCTGCTCACGGTCCAAAAACCCTCTGATGGAGGCTATCCCTCTCTACTACTCCTCCTAGACCTGAGCACAGCTTTTCATTGTATCCTCCTCCACGGACTTTAACACTCAGCACGAATTATTCAGACAGATTTATACTGGTTCCACTCTTACCTTTCTGACCAATTGTAGTATTTCTCCATCAGTGAGGCAAGACCCTGAACCCAAAATCCCCTGCGGTGTCCCTCAGGGATCAGTCTGTGAGCCCACTATGTTAACCCTCTATCTTCTCCCCATCGTTCACATCATTACTCCCAACAGAATCTCTTTTTATTGTTTCAGACCACAGGCAGCTCTATATCTAAACAGATGCTCATCTCTCTAAAAATTCATCACCATCATTTTCAACTCATACCACCTGCTTTAATGAAGTAAAAGCCTGGATGAATCACTCCAACCATCCTGTCAAAAACAGAAGCTCTTAAAGTAGGCACCACACTGCCGATTCGTTCATCTATTTCTGTCATCATCCTCAGTATTCCCCTTTCCTCCTCAGTGATTAATGGTTAAAGCTTTGATGCTACTCTTACATTTCAGTCTCACATCAAACACATTCGCAAGATTTCATTCTATTATCTCAAGAACACCTCCAAATCTGATCAAATGTTCTCCTGTGGTTGAAAAAGGTGTCCTGTTTGGTTTCTCTGTTCAAGATTTGACCACTGCAACACACTTATTTATGGAGCTCCATCAAGACGGCCAAAGATTTCAGTTCATACAGAGCAGTGCAGCCTGATAAAGAAAAGGAAAAACCAACAGATCGCACAAATCCTCGAATCTCTAAACTACCTTCGCATTGCACTCCACATTAATACAAACTTTCCTTACTTATCTATTTAATATAGTTGCAGCTATGGCAATGCTCTTGATTATCTAAAAGAACTGCTCACCAGACAGACATGAATACAGTCCCTCCTGCAGCGAGTCTGTGAAGAAACCTTCCTAAACTTCTGATTTCACCACAGACTACTAAAGATTTTCAATTTTGGTGTTCTTATTTTGTTTAGGTCTGTCACATAAAACCCCTAAAAATACACAATACACAAGTCTCTCGGACTGCAACATGAAAAAATCCTCACACGTTTCATCTTGTACTAAATTATACTCTTTGTTTTATGATGAGGATCTTCTATAAGCTGGATCTAAGCACTTGGCATTTTGATGTTACGTATCTGTGCACAGGTTGTTCTGTTGTTATATTATTTGAAGTATAACAAACAACCAAGGTTTACACATCCTTTTCACAGTACCCTTTTTCTATCTTATACCTTTATTATTAGTATTATTATCACCATGGACATACATAGAATGGACAGAAGAAATCATTGCATGGATGTGTTAAAATAGTCTACATCAAAACAAATTCAAAGTAACAGCCTTCAGACCAAAAGAAAGAGCTTTCCCCCAATCAGGCTCTAAATTGGTGTGTAGTGATGGACTCAGACATAAGGACACTAACAAAGTCGTCCTTCTATAACCTAAAGAACATCTCAGGGATTAAAGGACTAATGTTTCAGCAGGAGCTTCGAAATAAAAGCATGTGTTCATCTTTAGTAAAAATGATTACTGCAAGGTCTACACACAGGTCTGGCTAAAAAGTTGATCAGACAGATGCAGTTGATCAAGAAAGCTGCTACCCACGTCCTCACCGAAACACAGAAAGTAGAGTATATCCTAAAACTGTTACATTGGATGCTTCTTTTTCAGAGAATATACTTAAAAATACTTCTGTTGGTCTACAAATCAATTAATTGCTTAGCACATAAATAAATAACAGACTTGTTGTCAGTGAATCAAACATCCACACCTCCTAGGTCCTCTGGCTCAAATCTAATCTATATAATCTACATATCTCTATATCCATATGGATGCAGCTATAAGCACAGCTGTATCAGCCAAGCTAACCAATCTCCTCGCTCAGTGGATTGTCACCAGCTCAAGCCCATCAAAGTGGCTGATGCGCTCAAGCTTGTTCTCCAGGCAGGCAGCCGCAGGTAACCCATTTTACAAACTACCTGCGAGGCAAACTATCACGAGGAGAATTAATGACCAGCAGGCCGCAGAGAAAGCTGTGAAAGATGAGAAGTTGATTAAGGAAAAGTTTGTCAGATTTTTGGAGACACTATATTGTTAAAGTGGGACATCTATAATTGGAAGTGGGACAGTATTTCTATGCAGCAAAAACACAGCAACAAATGAGCAAAACAGTATTTATAACTGTCAAAATCTTTAGTAAGAAGACAAAACTACATGTGAATTTGCTAAAAAAAAAAATATATATATATATAATATATTAATGCTGTCAAAATTATCGCGTTATTATCGCGTTAACGCGAGGCCATTTTAATGGCGATATTTTTTTTAATGTGAGATTAACGCTATGTGGTTTTATGGTACAATTTTCCAAGTACATCCCGCTGCAGCCTGCGGGAAGGCGGGGCTATTTTCCCCCAGTCTATGCATTTTCCATAGGCTTCGAGAGCGGAGCTCCTCAAGGAAAAAAGACGCTCATACACTGGGTGGCGCTAGTGCCTTTTCTTTAAGCCCCACCACCAACAAACAAGTTGAGTGTCTGGTGGCTAGTAGCAACCTGAAATACGCTGAGAAAACAGATTACTGAGGTGAAATGGAATCTGCTACGGCACTCTTGCTGTCTGTGTACGCCACAGGTCGGTATTGTGTGTGTGTGTGTGTGTGTGTGTGTGTGTGTTCTCATTTTTGTTAAGAGGCTGAAAAGTAACTTTCTAGAGCATAGACTACCTCCATCTAGTGATGTCGGTCTATTGATTTTGATGTATTGATTGAAAATTGTTCATTATTATCTTGGTTAATTAACATCTAATGTTAACTGTACTACATTTTATAGCAGTAGGGTAAAATGCTTGTCTTTGTTCAAAAGACTGTATTAACTGTAAAGACTGTCTTTTACATCAGCCTGTTTTCAGGGCCTTTTTTTTTGGCTACATATTTGTTATTTTTTGCTACATGCCTCCCCATCTTCTTGCCATATGTTTCTATGGCATAAATCAGTGTCTGTGACCTGTTTTCATTTTAAAAAAAGAACATTGGCACAAACCTAGCCTGTATGTATTTTTTGTATGTCATCGAGAGTATTTAAATGATTTTCAATCAGAAAAAAAATGTGTGATTAAAATGCGATTAATCGCAAGTTAACTTAGGCATTGATGCAATTAATCGCGATTAAAAAAAATTAATCGATTGACAGCACTAATATTTATATATATATACACTTTTCTGTTGTTTCATGTACCGCACTTGCTACTGAAATGTGCAATATACATAAACTTTCCTTGCTTTACTCATTTTTCTCTTGAAATGTTCTTCATAAATGATATGGGCAACAGTGGTGTTGGATGTAGGACTTTGCCCTGAAATCGAAGGGTTGATGGTTCAAGCCACGACTCCGACTTTCAGTGTCGTTGTGTCCTTGGGCAAGACACTTCACCTGCATTGTCTACTGATGGTGGTCAGAGGGCCCGGTGGCGCCAGTGTACGGCAGCCCCGCTTCTCTCAGTGAGCCCCAGGGCAGCTGTGGCTACAATGTAGCTTGCCACTGTGTGTGAATGGGTGAATGAATGTAATGTAAAGCGCTTTGGTCAAGTCTCCTAACTTGAATAAAGGCGCTATATAAATACATGCCATTTACCATGATTTAATTACTTTTATTTTACTACAATGTACTTTTCCTATAATGTTTCCTTTTCTTTTTCCTGCCCAATTCAATTGTTTTGCAACTGAAACGTGCTAATTAAACATATATAAATGAACTTCTATTGCCTTTTTATCACTGACAATCTAAAATGTGTGTTTTAATGTAGCGACATGGAAATCCTTCATTTTGAAAAAGTTTTCTGATAAAACCCTGAACTCTTAATTTTTGGCTCTTCAAAGTTGATTTTCCATTTTCCTGTAACAGCGAGCTTAAAATGGAAAAGTCTGGCCACCTAATTCATGTCTGCTGATCTGAGCAGCCAATAAAAACCTGGCAGAATCACATTGTAAAGCTCATAAACGGCCCCCTGCCTTTTTACTATGAGATCAGGTTGCATTTTATGGAGTTAAGGGGAAAATGTTTATAAATGGTTTTATATTCCTGATGTTGCTTCACTTGAAAGAATATCTGAATTATTATCATCACTGATATATGGTTTTTTTTTTTTTCATTAGGTTTATCTCCTTCACTTTTCTAATTCTACGTCCCTAATACAGACTTGGGATTTTTGCCTTACCCTGGGGGTCGACATCCTTTGCCAGTTTGAGGGCGTCAGAGTTGGCCAGGTCAGTGTTTGCTGGGGTGACAGCCAGGATCAAGCAGCTCTCTCTGCTGATAAACTGCATGATCATATCCCTGATCTGTTGCTCGATGTCCGCAGGCTGGTCTCCAACTGGCACCTTGGTGATTCCCGGCAGGTCGATGAGGGTCAGATTCAGCACTGCAGTCACAGGAAGTAATTTTATAAATGATATTCCCTAAAATAATCAAAGTGGGATCTCCACTGAATATTTCACATTTGATTTTCTACACCGGTAGTGCACTCTGGATTAAATTATTGCACTATTTTTGGCTCATTGTATTTCATTTCAGTGTTTACCCTTTGTTTTTACTAAAAAAAGCGTTATGTATTCACTATACATAAACACTATATTCACTATAACAACACTTAATGTTTTTAATTTAAAATCCAAACACAAATAAATAAACTAGAATACAGAAAAGGCAGGTGAAATTGATTTTGATTCTTCATGAAGTTGTGCCTGCAGTCTGAGCTGCTAAGGACTCATAAATTGTAATCCTTTGTTATAACATGCAAATGTTAAAAAGCAAATCAGTCAATTTATTGATTAGAGTATCAATGCCAAAAACAGACTTCTTTGTAATCAAAAATGCTTTTCTCTATGGTGTGCCACCAAGTTGATTTGGTGGAAAATTCAGCAAAGTAATACCTGAAAATAACTGATTACCCAACTTTATATCTGACAGCTTAAAAAATAGATCTATACTTGTTTTATATAAATATAAATGTATACTATGCAGGACCTACAAGCTACACCAATGTAGCATCTCCAGACCTCCTGCGTTACATTAACGCACAGCCTACTGTGTATATAGTACATGGCTATGTACTATATATTGTATGTAGATTATTGTATGCTTTATTGCATATAGCTATAGATTCTGTATTCTGTATATATATGTATATATAGGTGTACTTGGCAATAAATCTGATTCTGATCAATACGCAATTCAGCTTGTGTCTGGCAGTTAAATATTAAATATACAATTAAATAACACCAATTATACAATTAAATCAGATTTAATTATTATTAAAATAAGAATTCGAAGAATCACAATAAAAACTAATATTTCTTTTGTAAATAAAACCACAGTGCGAGTTACACTGAAGCTCCTTTAAAAGATTGATCTGAATGCAAAACCAAACCTCTTGATTTCTTCCTATTTTTGCTCTGGTATATTAGCACCATCTTTAATGATTTTATTGGATGGGAAAACAATAAGTAGCACATTACTACAGGGTTTAACTTCAGTTAGCTGGAGTGGATCGGATCTCAGAGTACTTGGGAAGCACATATTCTCTTATTTCCAAAAACATTATGAAATACATTTTTCCACTCTAAATCATTCACAACTTTATGTTGATCCATCATATACAATCCACCCCCCCAAATAAAATGTAAGTTTACTTTTGCAACATGAAAGTATGTGCAAAGAAATGAAACAAAAAAAAAAACAACAAATGGCAGCAATGCCACTTGTTGCTAAAATATGCAACTTCTTAAAAAGTCAAAAAGCATTTTAGTCTGATCCATCCCTTGTTGGGAGCTAGAGAAGTTCCAACTTTCTCCAGCAGAGTCCGCCGTGGATCCTTCTGAGGGAGCTTCCTGCACAGCTGCAGCCCATCAAGATCATCAGAGGATCCACTACTTAAGCTGTCTTCAGACCTTGCCTCAACGCCGCAGTGTTGATCCAGTTGGTCAGCGCCTAAGCCTAGACTCTCAGTGTAACTTTGTGACTTTGAACCCAGCCTGGATTCTAACCGTTGTCTCTGTCTTCCAGGAAACCAGTGTCTCCTCTGTGAAGCTCAGGAAGAGCTAACCTGCCGAGCCGACCCTCTGAGCCAAATCTGAAGATTCATAGAGAACTTCCATGCAGCTCAGGACTAAGAGCTGGAAAACCCAAAGCCAAGGTCTGTTCATGATTAGACGTGAGACGCTGAAGCAGCAAGCTGACTCTGCTGATCAACTCCTCTCCAGATCCAACAGTGACCCTCCCAAAGCTAACCTCAAGAACCCTCAAGGTACAATCAGTTATCATCAAGAAATCAAGCTCCAGCTTGCAACGCTAACTGAACTGTCTCTCACGCAGACTCCGGTGAACCAGTGTCCAGGCCCGAACCAGAACCAGTACTTTCAGTATGCCTGTATCATAATAAACTTGTTGAACTTTAATTCCTGTGTCCGTCAGTGGTGTTCTGCATACTTGGGTCGCTATTAGGGAACCCATCATGACATCCTAAAGTAAAAAAAAAACCTCCCTGACATCTGGAATCTGAATTATTTTATGATAAGGTATTAATACTACAGAATATTTATGTGATGGCTTCCTAAGAACACTGTTATCTTTGTTACTAGGGACAAAGCTCCTCTGGCGGCTATGCATGATGACTCACAACCTGTCACATCCCGTTTAGATCGACACGAGTTTCAACAAACTTGTACTAACTTGATATAAAAAGAAAAGAAAAACAGACTGATTGCAATCATACCATGAGGGGAGTAAACTCGTAGGTTGATGGGGATGGGAGATATGCCCTTGTTGGCCCCTGTGACCCGATCGGTCTCACCCTCAATCTCCTGGCGCACCTCGTCAAAGTCGGTGAACTTTTTCCCCTTGCAGTGGAGGAATTCAGCCCATTCTGCGGAGATGATAAATGAAAAAACATGCAGCAAAGATTAGCGATGGCTGTTCTGAGTGGAACAAAATGCCGGTGGAGGAGGGATAAAAGCAGCATCATTTCAAAAGAGAAGAGGAGTATGTGTTTGTGTGCATATCTAAGTGGACAAATGTGTGGCTGCTTGTGTGGGTGTGCAAATGTGTGCGGAACCCACCAGCATTTGCACTGATGAGCTGCAGAACCAGAGGCCTGCGGGTGACGATACCAGAACCACGGGGCAGAAAGTCCCTGAGGAGGAAACACAAACCAAAAGTCGATTCACAAACAGGGTGAATATGAACACAGATATCATAATGATGACTTATTTCTTCAGCTATTTATTCTCATCCTAAGTGTTTGTGGACTATGATGTTCTCAATAACATGCCAGATGCATCTGAGAAATCCTTTGGGTTTCTTTATAATCCTGTTAGCAAGCTCAAAATGACTGAACCACAGGCCATTTTATACCAAGCCTGTAAATTTCAGCTGGTGTTTCTGCAGCCGAGGACAGAACATTCTGACCTGATAAACAACGGGTCCAAATAAAGAGCTGACAGGGTGCCTGCTCATTTAAAAAAACGGTGACTTCGACATTTTCTGCAGGGTTACACACACAGATCAGATACGTCTGTGCGTGTATACTTGTGTGAAAGCAGAACAGTGGCTCTGCCCACATGCTCTTAACTTTAAAGTCTGGATCTCTTAGGCAGAGAGCTTGCTCCAGTAAAACGTATTGACAAGTATTCCCTCAGAGGGAAATCGTATGGGATGAGCCTTAAAGAAATTATGAAGCCTCCAGCATCCATTCAGCACTGTGCCAAGCCAGAGCTGGACAGATGGACCATTACTCAGCATTGTGGCTCCTATTGAGGGATGGAGGAGGACTAAATCAATGCAGCAATCTGAATCACAGCACTAAAATATTCAGCTAAATTACAAACATCAAGTTATATCTTATTGCTGTGGGTTTGAATGGATGTAACAGTTGGATTAAGGGACTAAAAGGTCAACCTGAACTTGTAATATTTATTTAATAATTTATTTTTTGAAGTCTTTCATCACTTTTTAGTGTGCAATTTTTTTAATGTCCAACCACTCGCTACTTCTTCCACCTCCTGAACCTTAATAAAAAGGATAACGGCATACTAAAATTTCCAAAGTTAATTTCGGCACTCTGTCTCAAAGATTATAAGGTGCTCCTCTCTGGTCACATTAAACTATCCAGAGGCTCAAATGAATGACATTGGAAACCCTAATTTTGAAGTAAGGAACAAGAGTCAAGTGTCAGTATTTTAATGTGAACATGTGCATGTCGTGCTTTGAGATAACAGCATTAACCTATTTGCTCAAATTTAAATTCCAGAGCAACACAGAGAATATTCATTATTCATTTTTGCATGCAGGAGTGGGAGCTGCTGCATGTGGGTGATGTTTGATAAAGGTTATACACAGCAGAGCAATTCTGCAACCAGCACTGGAAACATTGGATGTATGCAGAGAAGGGATCGGTGTCACTAGAGCCAGTGTGAAGTGTTAGCAAACTTAGCAGCTTTTTAGGTCAACAGGGAGGCCATAGAAGTGCCTCAATTCTCATACACAATATGAATTACAAAAGAAGTAACATTTGAGAGAGAAAAAAAATATTCATTTTGTATTCCTTCAAATTGAAATGCTGTTTGGATTAAAAGTTATTTCATGTATGGATGGATGGATGGATGGATGGATGGATGGATGGATGGATGGATGGATGGATGGATGGATGGATGGATGGATGGATGGATGGATGGATGGATGGATGGATGGATGGATGGATGGATGGATGGATGGATGGATGCCAAAATAAAACCATTTGAATGAATCTTGTAATATGATGATGCAGACATTGAAGAACAAAAAAAAATTGTTGAAATTAATATGGACTTGTTTTGATATTTGGACCATACAGTGTACATGATATACTTGAATGCACCATGAGTCAATAAATTCTCTCTGTTGTGAGGAAGACTCTTTACTAACAGTTTGTTCTGAAACATTTTGGACTGGTTGAATGCTAAAGAAGGCTGGATTTCGACTTGAGCCGACTTTGTTCCAGAAGCTACTCCTGATTTTTATATTAATCATGATTTTATGCTAGGTGAGTAATTCATTTACAGTTGCAGAGTGGATTAAGTAGATGATCTCTGTAAAATATGTTTACCCTGAGATAAGGTTTTGCCGTAATCCACCTTTCTTTTTGCACTGTAGCTGCATTAGAAATGGTAATGTTGCCAAATTTGACAGCTTAGCTTTAGCTAGGAGCTGTTTAAAGCATGTGTGGTATAAATAGTTCTGCATTATTTTTGTTTGTACACTTGCCTACCGACCTGACAAGGCTTTAACTGTTACCGTTTGTATGGACACTTACTGATTTTCTAGTTAAAAGTTGTAATTTGATGTCCCTAATTAACAGATAAATGACAAAATGCTGCCCACTAAACACAAATGTGTAAAAGAGAATAGAAGTGTCCCCTTATTGACTTTAAAGTAATGAATGAAAATGTTTTCTGATATTGCATGTACATTTTGAAAACTCAGATAAAAAAGTATGCATCATCCTCACAGTTTTTGAAGAGCTACTGGTCTGAATCCACCTTCTCTTTGGAGTAACTGTCTAACCTAATTATCAGCAGGTCAACTGAAGAGCAAAAGGCCAAAACAGACCACTGACTCACAGTCAAGGCTAAGACTGGAAAGGTTAGAAGATTGCCTATCTGTAGGGACTTCAAAAAATGTTTTCATCTTTTTTTAAGGTTCCATTTTATTTTCTATCTTTATATTCATGTATTGTGGGTTTCTATTACAAAAATATTTGCACATGTAGATCTGTTGCAGTTCTAGACGTAATATACCAGGGAAATCTATTGAGCCGGTGTTTTGTTTTATGGGGCAAAGGAAAAGAATCAGAAACTGAAAAAAAGAAAGTAAAAAAAGTAAAGTTTAGTATATTAAATGAGACATAGAGCCACCGTTGCTGGACCCTGAACTAAAATATTAAAACTGTGACCCTTTTATCAAAACTCCTGGAACTTAAAGCAGATAGTAATAGCTAATTAGTGGTTCAGGTGAATAGTAAAGGCAAAATATTAAATCAGTCCAAGGGACGAAACATTTAAGGCCTCTTCAGTCAAGGCATGTCCTCAGAAGATCTAAATAAATTATCTAAATAAATAAATATCTATTTAAAAAAAGATACATTTTCCCTTAATTCCAGCAGGAAAGTAAAATTATCTGGAAAAATGTATGATAATAATTAGAGAATTAGATATGATGAACAAAAAATATAACTTTTTTTTTTCAATTTTAATTATTAATCATTTTATCCAATTAGCAAATTTAATTTTATACTTAAATCAAGAAAATATAGAACTTATGCTGTAGATGGAAATTAATTCTTTGGGTAAATCAGTGGGGCAGTTCATTTCTTTGCCTTTGAGGTAATCATTCCTTAATACAGTTCATAATAAAGTCGGTCTAATATAAAAAAAAATAAAGAGGATTCATCTTTTTGTGTCTTTCCTGATGCCAAGGCACTATGCACACGGACAGTTGTGCTAATAAATCAAAGATCTAACTTAGTGATTTATCAAAAGGTATTTCTATGATGGCCATCTGTTGATTAATAAAATGGCAACACTTATTTATGGATATATTCATTAGATATTGAATTATTTTGTTTTTATTAGATAACATGATTTGGAACTGACACAAAATTCTACTTGGGGCTCCTTTATACTGGATCCTTATTGGGTCAAAATCCCCAAAGGTGCTTCTGTAGCCTAAATAAAGCTGGTACTGTGACCCAGTGCTGCTGGTTTAAAATAAAAAGGAAAACGAGGGACAGGGCTTGAATGAGGCTGTATTAAAGTGGAGGAATGATGGTTTGGATCCTGCAGCCTGACACACGGGCTTCTTACGTCATCCCCAAGGTTAAACGGTAGCAGAGATTATCCCTATCCGGTGGTCATTTTTCTTTTTTACCTGCCGACGAAGTTCTCCAACACAGAGCTCTTCCCTGCGCTCTGACCGCCGACCACCGCGATCTGCGGCAGGTCCAGGTTGCAGGCTTGGCCGATGGAGCTGAAGGCATCCTGCAGCCTGTTGACCAGCGGGATCAAATCCTCCATGCCACGATTTCCCATGGTGCCTTTAGTCAGGAGGACTTGGATTCAGCGAATGGAGACAGAAGGGAGATGTGGGGAGGAGGGAGGAGGAGGGGACGTAGCGCTGCTGTATTATTAGTCCAGGACTACCGTGGTCGCTTGTTGATGTGGTGAAGTCATCTAGCCGCGCATTGCCCCCCCCCGAGCTAATCGAGGGTCGGACGGGCTGTGGAGACAAAACCAGAGAGGCAAAATCAGAAAGAAACAGAAAAAAAAGGGACATAAGGAGACAAGGAGAAACAACTGCGCAGGAGCGCCACCCGTCTCTGTTTCTCTCCCTCTGATACAAACACACATTTACCGTCAAGGACATTTGCTGAGAGGAGATCCGTCTCTTCACAGCGCACAAATCAACGCCTAAACACGCGTATTAAAAAGCACATCCAAGCCACCAGTGCCTGGAAACATCGCGACATTTTAGGTATATTGTTAGATGTGACAGAGGAATGAAGGCTCACCTATGCTGCTGTGGCGGTGGGAGCTGACCGGCCGCGGCTCCCGGTGTGTCGCTGTCCGGTGCTGAAACGACGCGCAGATCAGGCGGCTGCAGAACAGCGTCGACGCTCCGCGCGGTTATACAAGCACCACCTGCTACTACCGCTGCAGGCGGCGACCCGGCTCACAGAAAAAAAAACACAGCTTAAAATAGTTAGAATAGTAGAAAATTCGCCTGTGACAGATTAATATTTCCCCCCCTCCTCTTCCGTCTCTCTCCCCCCTCTCTCCGCTTCTCTGCGGTGTAAATTGCGAAGCTGCAATCGACGCGGCGGAAGACAAATGAGAACGATGGGATCGGCGCCGATGCGGAGGAGCGCGGATTCCCATTGGCTGAGCGGGTACAGGTTAGGCCTCACTCCACCCGCCTCCTGTTTACATCCCCGCAGCTGATGCTGCTGCTGCCTCGTCGTGAGTCATGCGGCACGGCTGCGCATCGCTGCAACACGCAGAAGGAGGATGCGCCCCTTTAGATCCCCGCAGTGGGAGCAGAAATCCCCGCTCATATTCAGTAACATCCTACTGCACCTTGCATCAGGAGTTGGGAATGATGGCAACTAGTGCAGGCTGTATTTGAGCCTATCAGGCTTTGAGTGGAGCTAGAAAGATTGTTACATTTGGGCCCAGATTGTCACTGCTGGCCGAGGCTCCTGCTGGTAGAAGCAGTCATGCGGAATGGATGCTGTCTTAACCTCTAACAGGCCAACATCTGCGCCTGCTGCTGGAGAAGTGTCTTGTGGAGACTACAGATGAGATCTGTCACTGATCTGAATGAGATATTTAACTTGGCTAAAATGTTGAAAGCAGACTTGAAATACAACAGAGACAGAGAAATCCAAGCTTTCTTATAGATGTTCATTCATTTCTGGGCCAAAAGATGTCATTTGTGTTGAAGTTTTCCATGTCATCATAGGCCTTTGAATTGTCACAACATCCTATGGAGAGCACTAGATGGCAGTAATGATTTACACTTTGTCTACCTGCTCACAACAACTGTATTTCTTATTCATGATTGAAGGATCCTCCACTTATCAGCCATAATGCCGACTCGCTGAATTTTCTTCACATGATTTCTTCTGGAGAAAATGTAATAAAGTATTAGACAGCAAATGAACATTATTTTCTCAAACTGAGAGTGTTAGAAACAGGAACAATACCAGCAAGGACGAAGATGGCAAGATGACTAGAAGTGGTGATTCTAGACCAAATTTTACAGTAAGGACCAAGATGCTTTTTTATTGTTGTTGTTTGTTTGTTTTTTGTTTTTTTTTTCTAATGTGGAACAGAAAAATGCAAAGCAGACATATTGTTTGATTTACCCAATAAGCCAAAGAAGAAGCTAAAGAGCTACTTTTGGCTCTGATAACCCCTGTTATAGCAGATGGGAGCTGTGATCCTGTTGCTATATAATTGAAGGTGAACAACATGTCAAGTTTAAACTATTGTTCAAATAAAATTGTAAAGGTTAAAAGATACAATACGTCTGGGACCAACCAGATACTGTTTCTTTAACAGGGTGTTTTGTTATCATATATTTAATATCTTAAGCACAGGGGCTATCACAGGGGGCAGGACCAGTTTTACAGAGGCTCTGGTCCCAGTTGGCCCCTGTCTAGAACCACCTCAGCTTAAAGAATTGCAAAAACTGCTTTTTTATCTCTTCAATTTTAATAAAGATTTCCACAAAATCATATGGATTCTGGAGTTTAGCCCCTTGAACCCTACGGACCCACCGGCGGGTCCAGCTGCTACATGACCTCGTAGCTTTACCAAACCCCCAGTATTGATGTAAAAAACATATTTGGCACAGTTTGGTGACATTTATGGATAAATGTGCCAAAATGGCTTCTCCGCCTAAGAAATTTCTCACTAATACCATTCTAAAATAAATATGATTCATCTGATTGAGTCCAAATTTGGTATATTTTTACACAACATTTAGATTTGAAAGTCTGTACTACTTTTTTGTGCTATAAATAATATTTTGGTAGTGTTTTGCAATGTTTATTTCAAAGAAAATTTTGGCGAGGTTAAAAAAAATGCAAAATATTTTGTATTTTGTCCCTAATATTTCAGGCAGGGTCAAAGCTACAATGGTGCTGACACCAGAAAACCATTCTATGACATCTTACCTTTACAGACGTACCAAAAGTTTCTTCTTAAATCTAATAGCTTTGAGGCTATAAGTTATTTACTTTTGTGTGTTTTTGTCAGGCAGAAATTTATTTATACCCCCTTAGGGTGTAAGAGGTTAGAAAAACATCAGAGAACTATAAAGATGTTTAACTATACATGGTGGGGTTTTTTTGTTTTGTTTTTTTTTGTTTTTTTTTTCGCGTAACACATATAATCCTGATCAATCTTCAAGACATAGTTGGCTTTTTTTCCCAAAGATTTGTCAGACCATAACAAGAATTTTGCATTCTGCAGAAAACACATCCTAGTTTGCAGCAGTCCTGCTTGATTGCATCATGTTTGTGCCAAACACTAACAAAATAGCCAAAAGAAGGACCAAGGTCCTAAATGTGGGCTTGGTTAGGAATGCAATATGGGTGGTGTGGGTCTCTGAAAAGGTGAGACTAACTATAGGGGAACCATTAACATAATATTTTTGACAAAATAGCTTAAATTTGTACCCTGAAAAAGATTTCTGCTGCTTATTTGCTTGGCATGGCTGAGCAAATTAAAAGCACTTTCAGGAAATATAGTCAAAAGCAACGAGGGGTTACTCTATAAAATGGATATTCTTTGAAATCTAATCAGTATGGTCTGATCTACTGTCACTCGTGCTGCAAAGGAAGCTGATCTGACAGATAGGTGTCAGGTTACACTGTTTGGTGTGCATGAGACTGCATGGTTGCAGACCAATCCAAAGGGTCATACTATTATGCTTGAGAAGTGTAAACAGTTAAGACATAAGACAGGGTCATGCATGATGAAATTTCTGTCTTGTTTGCGCTCCTTTACTATGACATAAGTCAAGAAGTAAAATGTCATAGAAAGAAAAGACAAATAAACAGAGTTCTTTACATCCTGAAGTTGCCATCAGGAACAGATTAGTGGGTTTTATCATTCAGTGTGGCAAATAAATATTTACCCCTTTACAGATTTAATTTGGGAGTTTTTTGCCCCTTTGTCACATAAATGAGTTTGATAACCAAATAGAGATTGTCCCAGCAAATAAACCGTTTTTTGTCTGTAATGATGAAATATATTTTATTTTTTTTATTTATTTTATTTTGAAAAAGTGCATGTGGTTGAGAGGTTTCTGTTTTGAGCATTTTTTTGAAATCTTTACCTGACTCTAGAAAAGGAACTTCACTACAAAAATTGAAGTCTAATAAGTACATTTTTTTAAATAGATCCCTTGATTTGAGCAGGCAGGTAGCGTATTTCACGGTGGCATAAGATGCCTAAAATAGCTGGACAAAAATTAAATTGCATAATTTCTAGGTATCTTATTTAAAGGCAAAAATACTAATTCAATTGGCAGATCCTCTTATTTGCCCTCTGAATTAAGAGCAAATGAACTTATTTTGAGAATCTTCTACCTATTCTTCTGCTAATTTTTTTTGTGTTGTTAAACTGTCTTCTGCACGAGAGAGAAAAGGGAAAAAAACCTGGAAAAAACCTGCATCTCATGCGACCATGCACGGCTCTGCTTGCACACGTACAGTCTGAATGCACATGCAGATGGAATGAGAGCTGGTATTGTAATTAGGAAAAGGACTTAGATGTCAATATTAGCATCACAGGAATCCTGGAGGCCCATATTTTAAAACCATCATGCTGATGAGAGATGATGGTGTCCTACGAGGCAGTTATCAGAATTATAAGGAACAGGTATGCACTATTTTCATTCTCTGCCTGTATATGCTTCAGATGCCGTAAGAAATGTAAATATTATGAATGGACCATCATGTTAGTGCCAAAGTTTCATTTTCTCAGAGTTTATGCCAGAGATTTTTAAGTTTTAAAAACTTTCATCTACATTCACTGGTGAGACAGGCTATAACATGCATTGACATCTTACCTTCTGCATTGCCCACTTGATCTCCTATTACTTTCTCACATTATGGCCATGGACATGTCTGTTTCTCTACCAAATTTATGTTTAAAGGAATAGTACACCCAAAACATGATTAGCCTTCATTTTCTACTCACCCCCATGCTGAACAACACTCTGGAGTACTTTTTTGATATCTCAAATGCATCTGGAGATCTGGGAGGCTTCTTGCTGTCTGCTGACATTCAAATAATGGAGGTCTATGGTGCCCGAGGCTGAAAGGTCCATAAAAGTCCACAAAAAACGTGTCAATATTCCTCCATACTGCTCGTCCAATGTATTCCAAGTGTCCTGAGTGGGTAGCGTCCATAATTTACTCGAAACAAAGTCATTTAGAATGTTTTTAGAGCATAAACAGTAGTGGATAGGATTTCCTAAAAGCGCGTTCACGAGTCTACGGACACCGCGGCAGACCAAACCAGATGAAAGTGCGCATTCAGCGTCTGCTCTGCCGATAATGCAAGCGAAGAAGAAGAAATGTGCTGTTTACCTGTGCAAAGAAAGAAACAACGAAAGAAAAATGTCTGAGGACTTCAGTGTGGAGGAAGAGCATGAGTTCTTTGCCGAGCTGAATGCGCACTTTCATCTGGTTTGGTCTGCCGCGGTTTCCGTAGACTCGTGAACACGCTTTTAGGAAATACTATACACTACTGTTTATGCTCTAAAAACATTCTAAATGACTTCGTTTCGAGTAAATTATGGACCCTACCCACTCAGGACACTTGGAATACATTGGACGAGCAGTATGGAGGAATATTGAGACGTTTTTTGTGGACTTTTATGGACCTTTCTGTCTCGGGCACCATAGACCTCCATTATTTGAATGTCAGCAGACAGCAAGAAGCCTCCCAGATCTCCAGATGCATTTGAGATATCAAAAAAGTACTCCAGAGTGTTGTTCAGCATGGGGGTGAGTAGAAAATGAAGGCTAATCATGTTTTGGGTGTACTATTCCTTTAAGGCAAAACTAAGAAAGCAGCAAATACATTTGAACTGTGGGAAAAAGTATGCATGATTTTAAAATGCTTATATACATTAGTGTGCAGCTCTCTTACCCCATAATAAAATCCAGTGCTGCCAGTTGCCCAGGAGTTTCCAAATTGGGGTTGGGACCCTAGAGGGAAATCTAAAACTTGTGATTTTTGTTGTGTAAGCTAAAAGGTAATGAATAACTAAGCTAATAAATTA